CGCAAAGATGCGAGTAAGGAAGGAAGGAAGAAAAAATACCAAGAAGGAGTTGGAAATCTTATGAAGTAAATTGAACCTTGTTTCTAAATTGGATTACCAAGGTGGGTTTAAAGTAATAACAAATAACTTTTAGACACATGAGACAGGTCTAAGTCATTTTATAGCCAAAGCTTCAACAAATTTAAGCATGTGATCCAGCCTTGTTAAATTTGTTGAAGCTTTGGCTATAAAATGACTTAGACCTGTCTCATGTGTCTAAAAGTTATTTGTTATTACTTTAAACCCACCTTGGTAATCCAATTTAGAAACAAGGTTCAATTTATTTCATAAGATTTTCAACTCCTTCTTGGTATTTTTTCTTCCTTCCTTCCTTACTCGCATCTTTGCGTCATCTCCCTACGCATTATTTGTGACCTCAACCTGTACACAATCTGACCTGCACTGTGATAATTCATGCTTTCTTGCCTTTTGTATAACTGTGTATGATAAGTACGTGTGTGATCAGAAGGTCCGGAATGTGTTGCGCAAAACACTACACGTTTCAGATGAACTACGCCTTCTAATTGTGTTGCCGAAATTCATAAAGGGAATTAATTGCATACATCAATGTAGAATACCATATGCTTATTAAAATTAAACTATTAGTTGGCAAAATAAACTTATCTTTCAATACAGAAAAGTTCTCTTCAAAGCTTATCCATCTGAAACATTCAGGAAGACAGAAGAAACTGACTGGAAGTGACTAAACTTTAACAAAAGTATACATATAAAACTCTTCTACTAAATCAATTTTTTCGACTTCCTCTCACTTTGTCTTTTCCAGTGAATTTCAAATATCCACTTCATTACTAAGCAACACTACAGATTCCTTATTAAGGGTGAAGTAATCTATGATTGCGGGAAATTTTTTTATTATGATTCCTGTCTTTTTTGAGATTTCCTCCACTTCAATTATAGAGAAAAAGTGAAATGTAATAAAAAGTAGTATACTTAAAAATTTTTGAGTTTTCTTACTTTCATAAATTCTTCTTAGTAAACTTTCAAAGGAGTATTCCTGAAAAAAAAATTTTTATCACTTAAAGTGGAAACACGTTTTAGACATACACACTTCTAACAAATAGACTATAGTAACTTAACTCAGCTAGGCACTCGAAAGGAATACAGAAGTAAAACAAGCTGGCTACCTATCTACTATCACTGATGATATTCCTATTTGTGGTGGACTGCATTATGCATCCGACTGTGGAGAGCGAGGAGGCAGGAATACGCTGGACTACCGGTAAGAAGACACTAGAAGATTTGGATTTCGCAGATGATTTATGTTTGTTGTCACACAGACTCGAACACTTATAGGCAAACAGCAACAAACTGGCTGAAGAGGCTGGAAGCGAAGACAGGACTCCAGGTAAACATAGAGAAGACGTAGGTGATGAAGATAACCAATCAACAGCAACAACAACCAGCACCAACCACCATCAACGAGAGAGATTTGACTGAGGTTACTTCCTACACTTATCTAGGAAGCACGGTTTCAACCACAAGCAGTCGGAATGAATGAAGATGTCAAAGCTATGCAGTATCGGAAAGGCAAGATATACCTTCATCGATCTGAAATCGTTTTGAAAATCTTCTGCACTCCGCCTCAGCATAAACAAAAAGATTCCGATTTTCAACACAAATGTGAAGTCAGCCAGTTCTTCTATACGGGTCAGAAACTTGCACTGCGCGAAGACCATTTCCAACAGGATACTGCAGACTTTTATCAACAGCTGCCTTCACTGAAGATGAGATAGCTGACCAGAAAAAATTAGAAACAAGAAACTCTGGGAGGTGACGAACCAACCAAGAGCCGATTGCTTAAAAAATATTTAGGAGAAAATGAAGATTGATCGGGCATACGTTGAGGAGGTCACTGAATGACATCGCGCACAGTGCAAGCCATCGCTCGAGTGAAATCCCAATGGGAAGCGAATAATGGGTCGTCGGTGAAAGGGTGACATGGAGGTGCTCGTGTGAAAAGAAGGTGAGAGATTATGGGTAATCGTGGGGCCAGCTGAAGAGGACAGCAGAAAATAGAAGAAAGTGGAGATGTGTTGTTGAAGTCCCATGTTCCAATCGGAACCCAAGGGAATAATAATAATATACCTTAACTACTCGAAAAAATACATACTACTGATTGGTATGAGTGAGTAGTTGAAAATCAATCACTATAAAAAATATTTTTGTTTATCAGATAGATTGAGGTGATCTAATCAACAGACGACAGTTTCGCTTCTTCGGAGTTAGTTAGTTAGTTTGGAAATCACAATTTTAAGATTTTTGAACTGTAAATTATGCTGCAGTTTCTTCAATGTTTAAAACAACTAATATTATATTTAAATCACAATATAAAAAGGAACAAATGGAAGTAGAAATGTAGTAGATAAATCACTACGGATAGGAAGAACAGGGAGTCTTGAATTCCACTGCTGATCACTCTCCACTAGTAGTAGTAGTAATAATAATAATACTGACAAAACGCATAAGACAAATCAAGTATATTTTTAGCTGATCCAGCATTAAACTGCAAGTCAAATCACATCGATTATCTCCCTTAAACAACTGATGGAAGTGCAGTAGTCAGTATATCATTCATCTTTCAACATCATACTTTCGCTCTCTTTCCTTTGCGAGTTACGAGTATGCAAGATAGCTGCTATTCAAGCTTTCCAGGTTCAATAACTGTAGTGGGAATGGGGTTTCTAGCCTCATCTAACCCAACCTTCTTTCTTTTCTCACGGATAGACAAGGTTTAGAAGTGCTTCGAGCAGGAATCGAACCCAAAACACACACAAACACACACACAACCTAACACATGAGCGGCAAGCATTCTGCCATTGTACCACCACTGATTAACAACTATGCTAGTAAGATATTTCTAAATCAAATGAATTGCATGAAAGTATTTTCAGATTACATACATTACCCTCTCAATTAGGCTTTTTACAAATTATTGTCGTTTAAACTATCGTTAATTTCACGATTGATCACACGAACTGACTTCACGTAGAGAACCTCTGGAAAACAGTGAACACTTATAATGGACAGTCATCTTGTCCCTGTTTAGGACACTTCAACAGTAAGCCCATCTGTGACTTTCACCAGCGGTTAAACTTAGAACCTTCAGTGTACAAGGCGAGCTGGTAGTCCACTCAGATATCCAAATTAATATTATGTTTTTATGCGTATGCTTTTGAACTGTAATCTACCACCGATCTTAACAACTCAATATTATTTGAACAAGAAACATCAATATTATGAAGGACAATTACTCTTTAGGCAGTATGAGTATACATAACACTGTATAGAGCCAGATAAAGTTATTGGAAAGAATATTCTCTGTTCAAACTTTCTTTTGTCTTCTAAGCACCTAAATGGTGATTTTTTGCCATGATAAATTATATTCCGTTATGGAGAACATCTAAAAATGAATAATGATAACCAGTGCATTACGGTGAAACATTTACCGCAGTTAGTAATCAAAGTGCAAAATACGTTCTGGAGAACACTAAGCTGTTATTATTATTATTATTATTATTATTATTATTATTATTATTATTATTAATCCTCTCGATTCCAAATGGAATGCAGATAGAGAGAGAGAGAAACAGCTTCAGTAGGAAGGACATCTCAATTTCACTTAACTTTAGGCCTGACTCTATGACTGCCAACAATTTTTTATAGTTAATTGAGGTGCCCTTCTCCACAACGTCCCACTCGGACTCATCATTACCAAGCTGATCGATTCCGATGTCTCGCGAGGACCTGATGTGAACAAAAGCTATAAGTCAACTCATCAGATAATGTGTATATTAAGTAATAATAAATATATATGCACCTATATGTACACAATAAACATGATACATATGTGTAATCATCATAATGGATATCACCGAATTCAAATTCACCAAAAACAGAACAAGGAGAAATATAAAATACAACACACACACACACACGCACAAATACATAAAAGAGAAAATCAGAAAGGGAGAAAAGTGGTAGAAAACAAAAGGAAACATGCGCAAACAAAATGCTAGAAAATGTAGGCCCGGCATGCGCGTTGTAGGTTGGAAGAAAAGAAGGTGTAGCATCAACATGCTGATTAGTAATCATCTAAAAAAATTGCAAACAAACAAAATGGAAGAAGAGGTATGCAAAATACACAGAAAATCCATTAAAAAATAAAGATATTATATGTGTATATACACCTACTACTCGTTTTGAAAAATAAGTAGTACGGGAATAAAAAATATCAAAACTTAAATACATTACAACAACCAGAATAAACAAACGCATTTTTAAGTGGAATTGTGGATAATTGTGATAGGAATAAGTAAATGCCTAAAAGAAGGAGAAAATGCCATGAGGGGTGTACGAAATCTCTCTCTCTATCAAAAAAATTAGACATGTAAAAATATTTCACTGTATGTTGTCAAGTCATAAAAGAAGGGAATATTACTTTTTAAAAAAAAGCTAAGCGACAATAATAAAACGTCAACGTCTGCTAAATAAGAGGAGGCTTAAGAAAAACTTCACAAGAAAAGTAGTAAACAAAAAGGAACTGTAACGTTATGGACCACAGACACATTCCCTTCAACTCCTCGAAAAGCACATTCATCCAGTGTACACATATCAATATGTGCGTTGATAACATGAGATAAATGCAAATTCTGTTTAATGAACAACTGATAATGGAACCTAGTGAATACTGTGCATACACACAACTGGTGAAAGGGAAAAAAATTAATTTATTTACATGAGTTTTGTTTATCTATAAATATATAGCAGATAGAAATTCAACAATAGACACTGGAATGTGCATTTGCGTGCATGTATGTATGTGAGTGAGTGTGAAAATCCGCTTATCGCACATCACTAAAACAATAATAAAGTTAAGAGGAATAAATTAATGTTACAAAATAAAAAAGTGAGAAAATTAAGAGACAAGATATATATATCTGACTGTCGACCTCCATATCTCCATGTTTGCGTATGTGTTCCAATGTATATATCTGTTAGCAGTTGAATTCTTCTTGAGCTATTGCACTTAAATCTTTCATTAAACCTTCTAAATTAGCCATTTCTTGAGAGAGTTCTTCACTGCTGAAGGCTTTTTGAACACCCTACATAAAAATAATGTAACAGAAATAAACAGTATATTTCAACGAAGCTAGAAGATATATATATATAACAAAATTATCATTACTTTCACTAAACACACTAGGTGGTGACTAATGCCATATGTTTAGACCTTCGTTGCATGCAGATTGAATTCTGTCAGTCAGTCAAGTTTGCAATGGTAAAAATGAATTCTTTCTACTGATAATCGTGGTCTAACCTGAAACAAATACAGTCCCTACAAACTAATTCTTGCAAATTAATCTGACGCTCGCTAGTGATTGGCTACAGGATGAAGTTGCCTGGAGTTAGTTCTAGTGAGAAGTCGTGATCAGTGGGGGCCATACAGTTGGCAGTGAGAACCGAGTCCCGCCGATGACACTGTTTCGTGGTAGCACTAAGATCACGATTTGGTAGAAGTTAGAATTAACAGGTCATTGAATCAGGTCCCAGTGGGTGAATGGTGTACGAGCTTGCTTTGTAACCCGAAGGTCCTGGGTTCGAAACCTAGTGGGTGTGCGCTGACGATGATTTTCATACTAGGATGAAACAGCTGTCCAGTACCCCAGTGCTGGTTTTCAGTGTTTCTCTAACTGATATCAATCTGTGGTCAAACCTGCAACAGACACTATCCCTACAACCGAATTCTTGAAAATAATAATAATCTCTGAATTAGTAATAGTAGGAGATGGTTGGTTGGTTGGCTAGAATTGAGTCAATCACAACAGATTTCTCTTGTGCATAAGGCCATAAGCAACACTTACTTTGTGGACACTGATAAATACTACCTACCCAGTTATTTAAGTTGAAACTGGTGGAGCAGTACTCAAAACCGACACCTATTAGCTGGAAATCGATTTTTGTCAAGAACCAATAAACTGCATCTCTAGGCTATAAGTCATACTTATTATGTTCAAGCTAGTTGAGCACCTAATAAATTGAAGACTGGGTTTTACTCGATAAATCTTCCTCTCCGACTCTCTCTCTCTCCACCACTGTTCAAATATTATTTTACTCACTTAAAACAACATAGAATAGTGTGAGTCGGTGCACATGCACATTGTCCGGGGTTCGATCCCCTGCCGGCGCACACCCGATATCTATGGTCGGCCTGCAAAATTTGGGCTACCGATATCCATGCTGAAAATGCCATACTTGTACTGAAAATACAGTGTGGCATCAAGCTGTAATCAAAATAATAATAATAAATATGATGGAATGGTCAGTGACCATGCCACACAGACACGGTCGGAGTTCGATTCCCAGCTACTAACATTTTCTTAAACTTCACTTAGACTGTAGTAAGTCCTGAAAAGAGAAAGTGGAGGTTGGACTAGGCGAGGCCACAAACCCCACACCATGTATAGCTACTCAAACTTCAAAAAGCTCAAGGTTGAAGCCACACTTGGAACGTAAATGCATGAAAAATAAAAATAAAACAGAAAATAGTGTAATTAAACACGATTTCATGATCTCATATTAATAATTATGGCATTAGTAAGGATTATACACAAGTAGTTGTTAGAATGAAAAGAAAACAGAAGATGGGAAGATAAGTGATTAGTTGAGAGTACAAACAGAACAGGGGATTACCTCATTTTCAGTTCCACATTCACCACCATTATTATTATTATTTACAATTACAGAATTCCGTTTGATTTCTTGGTTAGCAGCATGTTTTCCCGTATTGGTATGACCATCACCACCTCCACGATGAATGCTGTCGTCATTCATCATACTTTGTTGATTCACAACATTCAATCTATTCGTATGTGCATCAAGATTTCGTTCATTACGATTAGAATTTGGTAATGGACGTCGTCGAGGTGATGCTATTGAACGTGAACCAGTGTTCCCTGTAGAAGAGGCAGTAGTACGTTTAGATTTTGGTGTTGTATGCATTGGATTGTACAGTTTGCTTCGATTATGATCATTGTCACCGACACCACTACCACCACCATTCATATATAAGAATTTCTGAGCTAGAACAAGAAGAACAAAAGCAAACGAGACTAATGCGAGTGTATCAGTTAAACTTGTTTCAAAGACATGTGAAATTAATTTCAATGTCCGCATAATTTATTCAGCAAAAGAGAGCAGATTAGAGTGAACAATTGTTTTCAATCAATATTTTAGGCTCTAAAATTATATATACATTAATTTTTGACAAAAAAGGCAAATTACACTTATATATGAGAAAGCGTATCGTATGGTACAAGTGACTACATGAAAAAAATCTGTATGGCAGGGCAAAAGGGGGGGGGGGGACCGAATACGTACATAGTGCGGTCTTAGCACGCTTGTTAGTTACCGAACATTGAGTAAAACTACAGCAGACGTTCTCGATTATCTACTGTGTTCCTGACAGTCTATCGAGAGGAGTTATCCTACATCTACTATCAGCACCTGAAGCGGTAGTAGTCAGTACCAGAAGACATTATCTCTGTATACAGAAGAAGTATGTCTAGGCGCCTTGTTTGTCATAGACTACAATCACATCAACAATAAAACCACCTTAGACACTGGCACTGATTACAAATTAATGTAGGTTTGCCTCGCCATTCAATCCCAGCTGGCTTTGACATCTTCATCTGTAGTTAAAACGATGTTGTCTAGTTAATTGAGAGTGAAGTGACTTCGCTTACATTTCCCTCCACTGATGGTGATTGGTGCCAATTGTTGTGCCGGTTGGGTATTTGTATCACCTCTGTCTTCACAATATTCTCTTGAAGTCCTGGCTTCACTGCTAGTCTATTCTGTCAACTTGATGGCTTTCGTCAGTAGATTATCGGCTTTGTGTGACATTAGACATAAATCGTCAGCGAACTTCGAATACATGATGCTACCATCTTATTCTACACAAATCGATGTTTGCTTGGCTTTGTTAAAAATTCATAAAAAGAGGAATAAGGGTACAAAGGCAAGTCAATGAATTAATGAAATGAAAACTGACTTTATCAAATAAATCTCTCGCTCGCTCGCTCTCACTCTTATGCACTCTCTGTCTGTCTGTCTGGCTGTCTATGTATTTCATTCTCGCTCAGCGTTCGTTCAAGTAAGTAAGGTAACAGAAACAAATAATATATAAAATATGTACATTCTGTCCTTCATAGAAGACACCAAGCAGCATCCTACGCACCCTGCGAACAACAGTCACTTTTGATAAACAATAACTAGGTTGGATTAAAGCAAAACAAATACATTCAAATCATATCCGCTGTGAAAATTAATTAACATGCCGAAATGATGACAAGAATAACCAGAAAAGTTCATAACAGATTGGTAGAATGTGATGAAAAAGGTGATTTGTATTGTGAAGAGAAAGACAGAAGAAGAAGGAAGTATAGAAGACATAACAACCATCCGACAAAGCTGCTATTACTACTACTACTGCTGCTGCTGCTGATAGTGACAAAATTCAACAAAATTCATTCGAGGTGTAATTACATTTTCTACTTTGGTGTAAATTAATTAATTTAGCAATTCATAACCACAGGTTAGCGACATGCTGACTGAATATCTCAAGTCTAACAACATAGATAATACCAAAAGACAAAATTTTTTACATTTGGTTCCCTTTATAAGTTTCAATAAGGGAAGAAAGACCAGATTTGCAGTATAAAATGATGCATCATCATCATCCCATTTCACTGGTTCTCATCAACTGCACACCACCACCGACTCAAATTACAATGGTTATAAAAGGGAATGACAATAACATACTTAGTTCAATTTGTGAATAATGCTTGTATAGAAAACATTATAAAGAAAAAAATCAACGCATCCGAAATATAAGCACATTACAATTTCTCCTTTAAGTTAACATCAATTGTTGATATGCTTTCAAAATAGAAAAGGAGGGTGGTTGGAGGAGGAGAATATAGAAAATAGAAAACTTTTTAATAAACAATGTTAGCATGTAGAGGTGGTTTACATAGCAAGTCAAGAAGGTTGTAGTTCATGAGAGTGAAAACTTGCTCAGTGAGTTGAAATCACCAATATGGTGGATGAGTAATCACAATGTAATCAAAATGCAGTTATCACCAAGGGAGTGAGAGATTGATTACACTCTCTTCCTGTATGCATCAGTTTGGTTTGAAAGGTTTGATTGTGAAAGTGCAGTAAAGAAAAAGATGAGAAGACGTTACATCCAACTGTTGAAAAGAAGACAGTGTTCATTTGTCTCCGATTCAAAGGAGAAGCAGTATCACAAAAGATTGACAAGAGAATGAAAGGATGCTTCACTGCAGCTAAGCTTGTAACGCTATACAGCACCACATGCTCTATAAACATACAAAAGAGAACATTTACTACGATTTGTTGAAGCAACTCCAAATCTGGTCTTTCTTTCTCTTTTCAAAAGTAAATATTCTTACAGAAGGAGAAAATTGATGATAGAATGTGAAAGGAGGACAAACAGAAAGACAAACAGGTTGACGACGAATACACATAAAGGATGAAACGAAACGGATAACAAACTCAGTTTTATCGCATATGTTGGATACAGGATATTGCTTAAAATAGTAACTATACCCCGAAGTTATTATCATGCGTAATATTCACCTACATCTGTCTTCAACATACAGCTGAAGCTGTTGGCATAAGATCGACTGAACCGGAACTATGCATGCATAAGGAACACGTTCAAACTTGGATTTAAATGTCTCCTTGCCTCTTTTGTTTTGCGCATACCCTTCATTCTAGTCTCCTTTCAAATGTCCATTTACACTATTCTGACTTATCATAAGTGAGATTATCTCTTTTCTTAGCATATGACTCTACTTGTTTTCGTTTCACATATTGGTTATTTCATGATAAACCATTCATTAAAGTCTTTTCACCTCCTCTCTTTGATGCATACCGTTTTGTACTGGCCACTCACTCACCTAACACTGTTTACAGCCTTGAACTAACCTGTCGATTTTTCTTCCTCACATTGTATGCACCTATGACAACTGACTAATGGCCATATCACTATCTTGTATTTCACAATATTTTGTATTTGCATGCATCCTAGCACGTTTACCACTTTAGAACTGCTAACCTGTGATTCTACGTAAAAATGTATCTGCAGGATAACTGGTTATTATCATAACGATAAATATTATATTTCATAAATGTAAGAACCTGAAAAGAATTTATTGAAAAGAATATTCTCCGTTCAGATTGACTTTTAATTCATGATAAGGTAATATTTTTATACTACACCTTTATTCACCCACACTGGTGGTAGGTACTCCCAAGTACAGAGAACTAAGTCCCTAGAACAATGGCCAATTTAAACTGCCTCCGCAAGAGCAGTTGATGCGTAAAAATACAAAATAGGTGGCTAGCCTAGGTAATTCATCTCTCAGTTTCGGAATGACAAGCAATCAGATGAAAAATATGAGCTGCAGCTTACAATCAGAATATTTTCTCGTCAAAGATCATTGAATTGAGTTAATAATAATAAAACGTTAGGAAATAATGACACGAATCTATGACAAGATTTGGACGGCTAGCCCTTATTATCATTAATCATTATTGTTATTATTATTATTTTACGTCGTCACCATTCTAATCAAAACTATAAACATTTTCACACAAAATTTTATTCACATATAAACTATATGTATTCGCGTTAAATTGAAATTATTATCATTACTATTATTTGATTAGAGATTGGAAATATATCATCTATTGAGGTGATTAGAAAATAGATATTCATCAGCACACTTCCATTCCACTCGGTTTTCGGCTTTTATCTGCAAGTGGCTCCACCAGTGCCCAAAAACCTTCATTATCTCCCTATACATAATCTCCTCCATGTTAATATCGCACACACACACTTTCCATTCGACAGTTTGCTCCGTTTGATGCCATTCAGTAGTCCCCTCGGAGTACGTCCAATCCATTTGGCCAGTCCCATTTAATCTTGAGTATCAAAACAGCGAAAGCAGCTATTCATGAAGGTCTGCATTGGCTTTCATGAAATGCTTTTGGTGATACGCTAAGTTTCAGAACCACACAAAATGACTTAATGTTGAAAATTCAAATTTTATTCCTTATGCCTCGGAGTAACAGACACCTATCTTGTTTTCCAGATCCTGGCTGGTCTAGAAACACTTATTTGTACCGCTTGTAGCCAAAACGAAATTACCCACCACATAAGGTAAGTGAGGGAGACGATTTCTTTTACATTTGTTTTTCTGCTGATCGTGATGGATGCTTGCTGTTATTGTTTACGCATCTTTATTGCCTCTGTCTTTTCCATATTAATCTGAAGCCACGTTATCGCCGTCTTTCCTAACAAATTGTTGGTTTTCCCCAGTAAATTTTTCAAGTTGTGCGATATAAGCCATGTATCACGCACAAATGCTTGGACAACTAAAGTCTTTTCATCAGTCCAGTAAATGAATGACTTCTCACTCTCCCTACGGTCTGCCACATGATCCAGTTTACGAATATCAGAATAAACATCGATAGCTTTGTATTACTCTTGATTTCACTTGAAACGTTTCGACGAATTATTTGGAATGCAGCATCAATATACAGCTGTTATATATATATATATATATATATATATATATATATATGCATAATGGAGCTATACTCTACCACAGTGCCCAAGTTTTATACTTCTTTTTCAGTGGTTTACACACAATGATAAGCTTTTGTTATTGGTAATATTTCGAGCAAAATTATTATCCGTGTTCATACCAACTGTTGGAACTGTTCTGTTTTTTAATTAAAAAACAGCGAAAACAATTTCAAGTGAACACAGATGATGACGATACTCAACCAACAACAATAAGAGCCACTAATCACCATCAACGGAAGAAATCTGAACGAGATCACCACTTTCACTAATCTAAGCAGCATCGTTACTACTACAGATGACGTGGATGAAGATGTCAAAGCCGGGCAGGTTCGAAAAGGCAAGACAGACTTTCACTAATTTGAAACCAGTCTGGGAGTCTACTGCACTCAGCATAAAAAACAAGATTCCGATTTCGAACACTAATGTCAAGTCAGTCAATCAGCGCTTCTATGCGGTTCAGAGACTTGGCACGTCGCAAAAACAATTTCCAACAGATGTCTTCGCTTCATAGTGAAGACCAGAAGGCCAGTCAGGAACAATCAGTAACAAGAAGCTCTGACTGCGAAGCTGCTAAGAGCCTATCGCCCGACAGATATACTGAAGAAAATGGAGATGGATAGGAAACATGCTAAAGAAGTCCTTGAGTGACATCGCCTACCTGGCAGAGCCTCGAGTAGAACCCGAGTGGAAAATGAATAGCTGGATGTCTATGGGGTGACATGGAGGAGGTGGTGTGAGCAGGAGACAGAAGTTTATGGTCAATCGTGAAGCCAGATACAGACGGACTTAAAGAAAAAGGATGAAATGGAGATATGTGCTGTCAAAACCCTACGATGTTTCACTCGGAACCTAAGCGAATAATAATGATAATGTGTCGCAGAGTCTCCAACCTTTTGAATCCTATCCTGCCTGCAATTATTCAAAATGGCAGAAAAAACAAGGGCAAGTAGGTAGTCAAAGAATCCAACAGTAAGCATTGGAAAAAAAATAGAAAACAAACACTCACAATCATTTTCATTTGTTGAATTTGACATCACAGGACCAATATCTTCTACAAGAGAGTTTAAGGAAAGAAAAGAAAATGATGCATGAGAAATGAAATTTGAAAAATATGGCGAAAACATTCATTTAGACATTTAGAAGACAATAGAAAATTTGAGCAAACAATATTCTTCTCGATAATATCCTCTTCCGGCTCTACAATTATATATATGTATTAGACAGTTGGAGGCAATCGGCAGGAAGCCTTGGACCTAGGTTTCGTGCTAGTTGTCACTCGTCAGCAAGGCGTATCTGCAACCTTGAAGGAACTCATGTCCCTTTTGAGATTCGAACCGCGTCACCCAGTGCCGCAGTAAGAGACGTTACCACTGAGCTATTCGCGATTGACCTCCTGTAGGAGGTTAGCAAGGCTTCCTGCCGATTGCCTCCAACTGTCTAATACATATATATAATTGTAGAGCCGGAAGAGGATATTATCGAGAAGAATATTGTTTTCTCAAATTTTCTTTTGTCTTCTAAATTTCAAAAATTAGCGAAGTTCGTGATTTGTTAAAGAATTTCTTGAATAAAACAAAATTCTTTTGGATAATATGTAAAGTAAACAGTATATTCACACTTTCTCTATTTAAGTATTTATGAAATCTACTAGAATTACACAAAGACAGAATTGTAGAGTCAACTACTTATGACCGTCTAAACGATAGGTATACCGGTAAAGATAAGAGTTCAAATGAGAGTAGGAATGAGAGTGAGAATAGGAACAGAAGTAAAAATGTTTTAGTAAGGATAGGTGTGGAAGTAGAAGTAGAACTAGGTGAAGCAGTAAGAAGAAGAAGAAAAGTACAAGTTAAAAGTAGCAGTTGCCATAGTAGTAGTAAGAATTGAAACCTATTTTGAATGAATGGTATCAAATGCCATATTTATATTCTTTCTTTTTCTTTTTTTTATTAGCTCGATGCCACACCGTATTTTTAATACAAGTATGGAATTTTCAGCATCGATATCGGTAGCCCAAATTTTGCAGGCCGACCATAGATATCTGGTGTGCGTCGACAGGTGATCGAACGCCTGACCATGTTCATGGTCGGCGAGAGTCCTAACCAATGTGCCACCGACGCACAGTAAAGAAATATTGTTATTTAATCAATTGTAACTACTTAAGTAGGTAAATTCATCCAATGAACAAATTATGGCATTGCAGTTAGCATAAAATACTTTGCAAACATTAATCATAGAGATTTAGTAGTAGTAGGAGACATCAACGACCATTTTAGTTCTCCAGCATCATGAGTGATTTAGAACAAAACAGAAACAAATACTGCGAAGTAATTTACAGCACAATGTGTGTTACTCACAGATATATATATATATATATATGTAGTCACCGTCCTGTTTTAGGTTTACTTACAAAGGTAAATTGACGTGAATAATTGAAGAAGACATTCACATCATTTACAACATATATAAATATACACTTTTTTTATTTCCTTCATGTTCCCCAGTGGAACATAGGGCTTCAAGCTAGTGGCTTGAAGTTTCTGTAGCAGTGCTTATTTTACAGGATGGGGTTGCTAGCGTCATGCCCAACCTTTCCTCTTTACCAGAATTATTTCTGGCTCAGCGAGGTAAAGGAGTGCGTCGGCCGGGGATCGAACCCCGGACCATGTGCATGGTCGGCGAGCGTCCTAACCACTATGCCACCGACGCTAAATATACACTACTGTGCGTAAAAGATTTTCCATACTACAAAACTGTACTAAAAGGATCGAAAACAGCTATCCAGTAAAAGTGCCCCATAGTTTTTAATGCTTCTGCCTAACTGACAAGTTGAAGTCTTTATGAAGCGAAAAGGCATGTCATCTTCAAATGTCAGACGATGATTGAAAGTGCACAAACTTAGAATCCATAATAATAATAATAATAATAATAACAACTATAATAATAATAATAATATTGAACGATAGAATTCAGCTATCAACTAAACCAGATGCGATTACACAAAATAACACTGGTTAATCACCTTCAGTTACTAGTTAGTGTCAAGGTGTGCAGTGAACAATACAGCACACTGTTTTATTTAGACGAAAGAAAAAGCACCTTAAAATGATGAATTACAACATTTCGCATATTCTATTGCAATTCACCAACCAGACGGGTTCCAAATTGCAGTCAATCATTTAGACGGGAACTGTGCATCCCTGATGAAGACTGATTAACTACCACATTCAGTGGGAATTGAAAGGCTCAGATTAGTGGACGAAGAATATTCTTTTTCATAACTACTTCTTCATCAGGATTTATGCTTACTTATATATCCATTACAAGAATTAAAGGATTATTGTTAATAACAATATAATTGCTTCCTAAATGGTATCGAATAAATAATACCAGAAATTTACAGTTCAAAAGAATCTGTAATCAATAACAATATGCATACATATATAGTTCTACATTAAATATCACATAAATTAAGGGAAAATAATACAAAACCTATGAATTCATAGGTTCACCAGCAGGCCGAGAAACTGGGTTTCTTTCGCATGCAGAAATCTGCATGTGTTTCCAGAGTATAGCAATAGCTTATGTTGTTTGCAGTATGCCGCACCTAATAAGGACTTTAGAAATTTATTTATTGGTGTCCGATGGACGATAGAGAAACATTCTTCAATGACCAGTTTTATGGCTTGTCTAGACATGGCCTTATATCGAATTATTATTATCTGGCTGCTAACCAAAGGGTGTGTGTATTGCTGCGCAGCAGTTCGCCCTATCCTCCTTTAAGGCTGCGAGACGTGGCCGTTGAAAGTGGATGGTAAGAAAAGGCCGGCTAGCTGTCTGTGATCACAGGTATCAGCGTTCTATCTCCTGTGTTAAGTCGTATAATAAGGTGAGCAATACTGAGGTGAAGCCGTCAGTCGAGTGCTAGGTAAGGAGGGGAAATCAATCGGCGAGGTTGTAAAGTTACACCGATTGAGAGGGATGGTTAGCACATGTGTTACGTATACCTAGCCTAGCCATCACCTTTCTCGACAATGGGCAATGTTAGCTAACTGACATAGGATCAGGTTTGAAAAGAGCAAGTGGTGGTCAAACCAAAACATGGCTTCATCAGTCAATAAAATACAGAACAGTTAGTTTAGGCCATGTAGTAAGGTGTAAATTTCCTGGTTGCTTGGGGTCTTCAGGATGGTAAAAACTAATGAAGGCTGGAGATAATTGGTGATATGGCTCAAAATCATTCTCAATGGCTGGCGTGGATACATTCACTCTTTGTGATTTGTCATATCCAATAAAACTCTATTGTTCTTCCCTATTACTATTCTTTTTGCCTCATATTTCTGTTGTTATCTCTCTTCTCTTGCTTTGTGTACTACAAGGAGGGAGAGTGGCAACTCGAACAGCTGCACATCTGTGCAAAGTGCTATGTTGAAACCATTCAGTCAGTCAGTCAGTCATACTATATTATTTAACCTGACTAACGAGTACGAGAAACTGAGTTCCTACAGCAAGCCATTACTGCTACTTTTATCCTGGTGTGGAATCTATGAATTCGTAAATTCTCTATTATAATTTCTTAATTTATCTTACATTCAATCAGTTTAGTGTTATATTTAAGCATATTTACCACATACTACAAATGTTTATGACCAGTTGTATTCTATTGATATTATTGATTGAATTTCATTTATTAACAATAATTATTTTAATTATTATGGATGCATACAACTGTAGAAACTGATGAAAGGGAAGCTATCGAGAAGAATATTCTTTGTTCCCTAATCTCAGTCTTAAAATTTCTTCTGGTGGGCATCTTTAAATAGTCATTATTAAAATGAGAATTGAATTGAACAGTATAAAGAAGCTATGCTAACCAAATGGATTACAGACTGAATCTTTACATAATTTCTACAGTCCCATTTGGTTTAGAGAACAAATTTACACCTCATCAATAATAATAATAGTATATTGTCACTTTATTCGAGCTAATTAAACTTTCTTTTCAACCACTGTAGTTCCGAGGTTCGAGTTCCATCGCTTCATCTATTTCATTTTAGACGATTATGGATAGTATCAGCAACAACAACCACACACACATACACACACAATAAGATCTATTCTGGCTCTGAATTACTGTATTTTAATTGTAAGCCCTTACACACACACACACACACAGACACTGAATGTATCCTTTAAGATAAGTACAAAATGAATAAAAAGGTATGTTTCTTTACTCTTGTGCATTTTACCTGAACTTGTAAATGACATAATCTCAGCTGCATTTACACGAGGTGTTGTATTCACATTGACAAATGCTGGTTGAGTTGCATAAGATGGATTCATTACATGAGCATATGTAGCCATTTGAGCTGATAAGGTGTGAAGATGGGGGTGGGTGGAGGAGGGAGAAGAGAAAAAAAGAATATATATATAAATAAATAAATAAGGTATTACAATTTTTTTAGAATATGTGAGTAAGTGTTAACTGATTCGATAATCTAGTTTTAAACGTTAGTCAACATCTTACCAATTAGATGTACTCCAATCGATAGCTGCTATCTTGACGTCGGGATCTGGTTTGTGTATCGCAATGATCCAGTGACTAAAAGCAAGTACCAACATAGGGTAATTCGTTTACATTACGTTATGAGGTCTGAGGACGACGTCGTACAGCTGGAGAATAGACATGTAAGAGCAGTAGGGTGTTTTCCTCAGATGATCAGCATGCCAGCTATGCTGCCTCTCCTTTAAGGAGATGGAGTGGGGTTAGACAAGATCGCCCCCAAAATTTGCACATGTCAACTCACCATGCGACGGTCCGTATCCAGTGGTAAGATCTTAATATGGATGCAATACCAAAAACCACTTCAAATAAGCCACTTGTGGCTGGTGGCGTCAAGCAGTTATCCCTTGGGCTATGTGGTCACGCAACATTTATGCTCTTTATGTTTCAGCTACCCAAAGAAGAAATCAAATACCACGGTATGCACTTCTAAAAGCACATAAAGTTCAGTCAATCAGTTAAATCAGGCGTGCAGTCCGGTCACTAGGCTAAATGATATGACACAGTTGACTGACTAACTGAATCAACATAGGATTCTGCATAGAAAGGCATCAATTCAAGGTATTACATTTCATAAAAGTACACATAAAGATGCAGAAAAGAAATACAATGCATAAGGGTATCCATTACGGTACGTTGTAAATTCAAACATTCGAAATTGTCACTGGGAGTACAGAAGTATTCAACATTATTTGCCGAGTGACACCATCTCCATTCAAATTGAAATAAAAATTAAGAATGAATCTAGGAGAATATTTAAATCTATTGCATCATTTAGTGGCATGAACTGACAGAAATTATAACACATGAACCACTGTTCCAGTGATTGAATGGTCAATGGGCTCGGCTTATAACCTTAAGGTCCTGAGTTCCATAGTTAACAGTGGGTCGGGGTCATGAATACGTAGTACCAAGAAGTCAGTCTGACACTAGGACTGATTACAATCCATAAGCTAAAGTGAATGAAGTGAATTTGAATATATCAGCAAAAACTTATGAAAGTTGCGTCTTGGAGATACCGTGTTTAACGGACAACTAATATGTGGATAGAGATGAAATGATTTCTTGATGATTGACTTCCACAATTTGGATGCTTATCTGTTTACAAATTAACTTGCTCTAATGGAACTAGCTGGCTAACTAGCTATACAACTTGAATAAATCAATATCCTAATTCCATTATGGGTAAAATTTATTTTGATAAAGCCTCACGGTGTTATACAGTAATATTTACTGATGACGTTTCAAGAACAATTTATTGCCACTCATAATCATATCAAGGTACGACTCAGACAACTTTCTAACTTCGTTTACATAATTCCATTATCTTTCATCACTTGACTTCATTGGTAGTAGTATTTTCCATATTTCCGCTAGGAGTGATGAGTCATTCTTATTGCATGTGTTCGGTGTAGACTCGATGAACAAGGATTCAGTAATCAATCTCTCTCTTCACCCACCTAACTATATTACTTCTAAGAATTTTAACCTTCTCCCGCCCTGTTCTGTGGTTGTGTGTTAATGTATGCAGTGCAATCGCTGAGCGTTTTTCTAAATTACTTATCTTCTTGAGGTCAACCATTCTTACCTTAGCTAAATTCTTATGTTCCGACAATCTGACTACCCCCGACCTACTAGTTTGACCTATGTAGTTGACGTTACTGGCAGTCATTGCAAGGTATTTTGTGAATTATGTTATTTTGTTCAATTGAGTCCACTCGGTCCCTTAACCTACAGAACTTGTCCCTGAGTGAGTTTGTAGGTTTGAATGCCACCCTAATTCCTGCTTTATTGAGAGTCCTACGTAAGGTCTCAGATGTCCCCTCCTTATATGGTATAACTATAGATGCCTTATAACCTCGCCTAGATTACTAGGTCACTAGTATTCTAGCCGGTCCCAAGCCCGGATAAAGAGGGATGGTTGGGGCGTGGTGCTAGCAACTCCACCCCCAAAACTTAACCAAATTGCTACTAAAACTTCAACGCACAAATATATTCAAAATTCTAAAATTACAAATAGTGACCTTATTTTTCGCTGGAATCGGGGAAGTGAAATGACGCGGGCTGGTGAAAGCCTTCGGGAAGCCAGTCAGCCGATGTGCCTTCTTTCGATGAAAGCGAAAATAAGGATGGGGACGTGGAATGTTCGTACAATGTACGAAGCTGGGAAGGCTGCTCAGGTAGCCGCAGAAATGAGGAGATACAAAATAGAAGTGTTGGGAATCTGCGAGAGCGGATGGAACGGATGTGGAAGGAGCCAACTATCAACTGGAGAGACAATAATCTACTCCGGTCACCCAGAGGACAATCACGAGCACACCGAGGGAGTAGCCATCATGATGTCACCAACAGCGGCTAAAGCTCTCATGCAGTGGGAGACAATGGATCGTGAGGCCCTCGGTGAAATGAACGAAAATGGCGAACTCTTCTCAGACTTCTGCGCCTTCAATGATTTGGTGATTGGTGGCAGTGTGTTCAAACACAGGGATATACACAAGGCAACATGGATTTCACCAGATGGACACACCAAAAACCAGATAGACTTCATTTCAATCTCAAGGAAGTGGAGACGGAGTCTACTGGACACAAGATCGAGGAGAGGAGCAGATGTGGGTTCAGACCACTATCTTGTACAAGGGACTTTCAAGGTGAAGCTGAAAGCCTCGAGGATAGCTGGGGATAGGCCACAATGCAAGTTCAACACTCACAAACTGAAGGACACAGTCACACAGGATATTTTCACTGCAACCGTCAGAGCAAAGCAGGAAACACTACGTGGCACCACTGAGGAATCATCCGTGGAAGACCATTGGAACTCTCTGAAGGTAATTTTCAACGAAACGTGTTCAACGGTTTTAGGAAGAAAGAAGAAACAAGACAAGGAATGGCTCTCAACAGACACTTGTAAACTAATAAAGGAGAGGAGAAAGGTGAAAGACAAAATGATTCAATGCAAAGATGGACAAGAGAAAGAGACGCTGAACTCAACTTACACAGCACTGGACAAAGAAGTGAAGAAGAGTGCCAGGAAGGACAAAAGACAATTCTACGACAACCTGGCTACTGAAGCCGAGAAGGCAGCAGGCAAAAGGGATCTGAGGACACTATATCAGATAACCAAGTCTCTATCCGGGAAGAGATCAACACAAGTGAAACCTATAAAAGACAGCCAAGGGAACCCAATTACCAAAGAAGAAAGACAGATTAAACAATGGGCGGACCACTTCAAAGGACTCTTGAATCGACCACCACCTACAACCCGTCCAGTAATACCAACAACAGCACGTACACAACTGCAAGTTGACACCAATCCTCCAACGAAAACTGAAGTCATGAATGCAATCAAGCTTCTGAAAGCTGGAAAAGCAGCTGGACCAGATGGAATACCCCCGGAAGCACTGAAAGCGGACCCAGAAACGACCGCAGATATGCTGACTCCATTATTGCAAAAGATATGGAAAGAGGGAAAGGTGCCTACTGACTGGAGGAAAGGTTACCTGGTGAAACTACCAAAAAAGGGCGACCTGGGACTCTGCAAGAACTGGCGAGGAATCATGCTCCTGTCGACGCCAAGTAAAATCCTGAGTCGCATCATCCTGGAGAGAATCAAGGACGCGCTGGATACAGAACTCCGACCAGAACAAGCTGGATTCAGGAAAGGCAAATCATGTTCTGACCAAATTGCAACTCTACGCATTATCATCGAACAAAGCATGGAATGGCAAACAAATCTCTACCTCAACTTCATCGACTTTGAGAAGGCCTTCGACAGCGTTGACCGCGAAGTAATTTGGAAACTACTCGAGTACTACGGCGTACCCCAAATATTCATCAACCTTATTCAACAACTGTACGACAACGGCACATGTCAAGTGATCCACAACGGAAAACTCAGCGAAGCGTTTAGAGTAAACACAGGAGTCTGACAAGGGTGCTTATTATCACCAATGATATTCCTAATTGTGGTGGACTGGATTATGCGTCAGACAGTGGGAAACGAGAAGACAGGGATATCCTGGACCGACGTGAAGAACCTAGAAGACCTGGATTTTGCGGATGATTTATGTTTGATGTCACACAAAATCGAAGACTTACAAGCAAAAACCGACAAACTGGTCGAAGAAGCAGCAAAGACAGGACTGCAGGTGAACATAGACAAGACGGAGGTCATGAAAATAACCAACCAACCACAGCAGCAACATCCAGTGCCAATCACCATCAACAGGAGGGATATGAAAGAGGTTACTTCTTTCACTTATCTGGGGAGCATTGTCTCAACCACAGGGGGAACGGACGAGGATGTCAAATCGAGAATCGGGAAGGCGAGAAACACATTCATCAACCTGAAACCAATCTGGAAATCTTCGTCACTCACCATCAACAACAAAATACGGATTTTCAATACAAACGTCAAGTCAATTTTGCTTTACGGATCAGAAACTTGGCGGGTGACCAAGAATATTTTCAACAGGTTGCAGACCTTTATCAACAACTGTCTTCGCTCCATACTGAAGATTAGATGGCCAGAAAGAATCACAAACAAGAAGCTATGGGAACAAACGAAACAGGAACCAATCGCCCAACAAATATGCAGGAGGAAGTGGAGATGGATTGGACACTTGCTGAGGAGGCCGTTGAGTGACATCGCGCGTCAAGCCCTCGAGTGGAACCCGAAAGGGAAGCGGCGAGTGGGACGTCCAAGGGTGACATGGAGGAGATCGTGTGAGGAGGAGATGAAACAGCATGGAATAACATGGACGCAAGTGAAAAGTACAGCAGAAGACAGAAGCAAGTGGAGACGTGCAGTTGAAGCCCTATGTTCCACTAGGAACCCAAGGGAACAATAATAATAATAATAATAATAATAGATGCCTTATATTCCCTCTTATTTATGTTATCACTATTATTCCCATCGTTGTTTTTATTTTGCTTTTGACCTGTTTTGATATTCCTAATGAGTTTTATAGGATAGTTATTTGATGCCAACGCCTCTTCTATCTGTTTTATTTCATCATTTAGGTCTTTTCTTGTTCTACTTAGTGCTACTGCTCGGTTTGTTAAACACTTAACTAAGCCTGCCTTCACAGACAGATAACAGATGAGATGAATTAAAGTCTAAGTATCTATTAGAATGAGTTGGTTTTCTATAAACACTAGTGTGTAGTTTGCCTTCTTCTATTCGTTTTATTTTACAATCTAACATAGCTAATTCTCCTTGCTCATTTTCGGCTTCAAATGTGAATTTTATTCCCTCCACTAGTGAGTTTATATGTGTTAAGAAGCTAGAGACATGTTCTGTTTTTAACACTGTGAAAGTGTCATCCACATATCTCCACCATATTTTTGGAGTAGGATTAAACGTATTAAGAGTGATATTTTCCCAGGTGTCCATAAAGATAGGGGATATTGGTGATCCCATTGCTACACCATCTGTTTGTCTATACAGAACGTGTTTAAAACTCAGTAATTCATGATGCTGAAGGCTATGAGGAAGCACACATACTATATATAATGACCACTCTGTTGTGTTTAGAGGTTGAGGCATGTGGAGGTGGATTTGAACCGGAGACCGATTCACTGAAAGTCGGGAGTTTAATTAAGCCAATGATTCGCATTGGTAAACAGAGTAGTAAAGACACACAAAATGAAAAGAACTTACATGGATCTATGTTACACGGTATAGCATTAGGATATCTAGCCGATGATTGTCCAGTATAAACCATTTGTGGTGGAATAACTACATGTGGTGATGGTAATCGGTCAATTGGCATACGATTGACTTGATTATATACTGATGTCATTGGATAATATTGTACCATATAATTATTTGGAATATTATTAGCAGTAGTATGATTACCACCAGTGATTGGCATAGCAGATGAGACAACCAAATGATTTTGATAACCACTAATCGGTACACCAGGGGATAAAACAGCAGGACGCTGACCGACTAACATTGTGGGATTTATTAGATTTGACGGAACAATTGATGTTACTGGATAGGCATAACCTAGAGCAGCATCATTCTGAAAAAAGGACGTGTATAATTAAATTCAGTCTTACATAGAAACTACTTCAATTCAAATAAAAAAGACAATGATAACGTTATTTTAGTTTGATGGTAACTAGCAGTGGAATCGAGGACATGCATTTCGTCCATATTAGGATTTGTCAGCTGGATATACCTGCCTCCTGCTCAATAAGTGATGGGGTTTTACCACTGGGACTCAAACTCAGCACTCATTGAGGCAAAACCCAAATCGTTATCCATTAGACCAACAGACTCCGAGACCTACCCCTTATATTATTACCACAACTTACTGGGACACACTTACATTAGATGATCAGCCGCAAATTGGACGAAATACGAATCCTGGATTCAACTGCTAGCCACAATCAAATGCGTAACATAATGCTCATCCCAAGTGTTTGTTTCTAGTGGTTTAATTGAAACCGACAGTGGAAGATAAATGCCCCGCTCATTAGTGACTACTAACTACAGGATTGACTTCGCAGAGTTCTGCTGAGAAGTCCTGCTGGATGCTGGTGTCAAGACAAACGCTCAGCAATGATACCAGAAGGCCTGCATTTCAATATGTTCACCTCGTAAACAGAAAGTCCCAAAATCGATACATGGAGGGACATGAGTAGTATGTGCTGATGTGGATGACCAAAACAGAGTGAAATAGTTGCCTAGTGCCTCCTCATTTTCATTGATTCTCTAAATGATGTTGGTTCATAAATATATAAGCATACTTTGAAATACGCGTTTTCACTTAGTTTGTCACAATTTTCAACAAAGAAAACATCTGCAAGACTGAAACCATGCCTTAAAAAATTGTTTACAATCGCTTAGCTGCGTATAATTTCACATCACTTTATAACTTTTTGGCACTCCCATTCACCCACTCACACACACACTCTAGGCCGTTTTTCTGTTGTATCTTAGAATCATAATTACGAAAATATGAACCATTTGGGGAATGGTATGCTAAACAAATGTGGAATTTTTCGCGACGTTGCCTAATTCTTAGGTTTACCATAGATCAACAGATTAACACTGCACACGTGATGACTTACAATTTATGTTCAAATGAAAATGGACGGAACGGAAGTCTAAACTGAAACTTAGAGATGCTAAAAACTAAGCGCATAATTAAGCCCTGTAAGCCATACATATATTATTCGATAAGTTTTCTCCAACCCTTAACTCGATTAAACTTGATAAACTTTTTCTTGAAGGCTCTTACACCACCGCATACTTATTCATATCCGGTAATTAATTTCAAATATAAAAGCTTCCAATGTATTTAACCCATATATATATATATGCATTTTCAACAGACTTCAGACACTCATCAACAGCTATCATTGCTTGATTGTGAGGATCAGATGGCAAAAAGGACAAACAAACATAAAACTCTGGCAGGCAACGATCCAATTAAAGACCTATCTTTCCACAAATATGCAGAATGAAATGAAGATGGATTGGACATTCGCTGAGAAGACCGTTAAGTAGCATCATGCGTCAGGACAACCCTCAAGTGGAACCCAAATAGGAAATGACAAGTTAAGCGTGAATTCAACGGTGATATGGAGGAGACCGTTTGTGGAGGAAACGAAAGCTTATGGATAATTGTAGAACCAACAAAGAAGACCACAGAGGGCAGACTGAAATGGAAATATGCCGATGAAGACCTACGTTCCGCTCCAAACCCAAGGGAATAATAATAATAGTATGTAGACATAGCTGGAGAGTACCCGGCTAAAAAATTAGAGGCTACTCTTGTTCAATTCGCATAGCAGTTCACTTTTCCTTTCCACCTTTAGTCATTACCCAGTATAAAAGATCAAAAGGATATATACACTCACTGGATAATTATGTGTTTGATGGTAAGCTAAATTACTTGACTGGATAAGTCGTGTCGGCGTACCAATACTACCACGAGCAGAATTTGTACTTCCTGAGCTTCCAGCATTCGTCGGTGTTTGCTGTTGTCCACTTATTCCTGGTGACTGACGACTATCACCAGTACGTTCTTGTGAAACAGAAGCAAACTGAAGTGAATCTGAATCATGATCCCATGAATATGAACCAGAATCTACAAAAACAGAAAAATAATTAAAAACCAGGTGAGGAAAACTTTGTTGGTTTGCAGTAATCTGACTGATTTTAAAGTTCAATCACAAATTAATATCAGGGTTAGAGAACCAGTAGAAACGAAGGAGTACTGGTCAACTGTTTGATCCTCATCAGTGTGAACCTATGACACTACTACCACCACTTGGGATCAAAACCCATGATCTCTAGGTAGATACGAGGCGAGCGCGTTAACGCGAACTGACCTAACTCCAAAAATGCTTTGAATATCAAGATGACTGTAGTTGAAACAAATCCTCTTCTTTTGTAATGTGGGATAGCATAACACTATTAACCTGCATACTCCTTTTCCCAGTCATCAAACGGGTACATGCAGATTCATGAGTAGATAAAGACAAATTACTCCAAGCGGATAGCACATCAAACAAACCACCACCACCACCAACAACTCACATTACTTATCCCTAGTATTTATTCACAGCAAATGATATGGGGAAAAGTCTAATATGATCGCAGTGTAGATCTCGTTAAGCTCCGCTCTTGCTAATTATATATATATATATATATATATATATATATATATCAAATGAACCTACTCATATTATTTTGATTATTGTGAAGAATGCCTTGACTTTGTGTAACTACGATAGAGGATAATGGACCGCCAACAATCTCTCCACCACAGGCACCACCTCCACTAGACACACCACCAGTAGCTGCTGATAAATTCATAGATGTAGTCAACAGCATTGTTGGTTGCCCAGTCATTACAACGCCACCAGGTAAACTGGACGATAATGGCTGTTGCTGTTGTTGAATGTCAGAGGCTAGAATTGCTTCACCATTACTCATTAATAGGGCAACATCTTGATTAGCACCATAGGATTTGTTATGACATTTACGTTTCTTGTTGAATAATTGTCTACGAGGAGTTTTGTTGTTATTGTTACTGATATTATTGTTAGTAGTAGTAGTATTGTTGTTTACATTTATACCATCGCCTTCGGGTAAACAATCGACGTTTTGTCCAGGTTTATACCTAGAAATCAGAGAAAGAAAGTAAGAAATGTCATCAACAACCTACAATTATATAAAAGATACCAAACAGGGAAATGTCTTTTCACGATTCACTGAAACAGAAGAAGCATTAGTGTTGCGTGAACACATAGCCCTAGAGACGACTGTCTGACGCCACCGGCCTGTTTCAAGTGTTTTATGGAGTTGTGTCCGTATTAATAAGATCTTACCACCGGATACGGACTGCCGCAAGATGAATCGGGATGCCCAGTTTCCGGGGTTGAACGTTTCTAACACCTCTCCATCAGCAAAGTAAAGAGGGTCATCATAGGTAGCTTGCTGATGATATGGCTCAAGGCTGTCTTCAATGGTACTACTATGCTGAGTGCTTATACAACGCGCTTGGGAAAAAGGAGGACATAGGTGTGTTTATATTTCCGTAACAGAACATCTTGTGAACTCAGGACACGTGAACTGGTATATGCATGTCAATTTGGTTTAATGCACAAGCTTGTCTTTCATGTGCTGGTTGAATAGTTTTCTTGCAGGAAAATTTACTTGTAAGCTGACAGCAAAGTATTATTTACTGAGAGGTTTTGAAAGACATTTTCGGGAAAATTTCTGCCTCAGTATCACTTTTAAATCCAAGATTATGCTGGTGAAATCCAAAAATTAAAGCCAACACTATGCATTGAAAGATGTATGTTCAATCCTTCTCTTTCGCATGACCATCATAAACAGTCAATTTTCTCAAACCTCCTGTTTATTATTCTTATTATTACATCTTTAATCCCTGTTTGTATCATGCAATTTTCACCTAATTATTCGTTATAATATGACCGACCGGAAATATTTCTGGAACTTTCTCGCCCCTTTGCACATATGGGAGAAATCTGAAAGAAGCAACCTCCTTCACCTACCTACCTACCTGGGAAGCATCGTTTCAACTACAGTCGGAACTGATGAGGATATCAAAGCGACGATCGCGAAAGCAAGACAAGCTTTCATTTCTCTCAAGTCTGTGTGGAGATCAACGGCACTCAGCATGAAAAATAAGATCCGGATTTTCAACTCCAACGTGAAATCAGTGCTACTATACGGATTAGAGACTTGGCGCATCATGAAGAGCACTTCAAACAAACTACAGACCTCATCAACAGCTGTCTTCGCTCAAGATCAGATGGCCGACCAGAAAAGATCAGCAACAGGCAGGCATCTCTGGCAATGAGCGAACCAACCCAGCAGGAACCAATTGTGCAACAAATATGCAGGAAGAAATGGAGGTGGATTAGCCATACTGTGAGAAAACAAACCATCAACTGACATCACACGGCAGGCCATTGCTCGAGTGGAATCCGAATAGGAAGCGGCGAGTTGGTTTTCAGTGCGAGGGTGACATGGAGGAGGTCATGCGAAGAGGAAATGACAGCATGTGGGCAGCCAGAGAGCCAGGTCAGAACGTTGGGGGAGAACCGAACGCAATAGAGATGTGAGGCTGAAGCCCTATGTTCCTCTAAGAACTAAAGGAGATAATAATGACTTCGTCGAGAAAATTTTCTTAGCTGAGACCGTCTTTTTGTTTTTCTCCTATGATATATATTAAGAAGTTGAGATGCACCTTTTATTCCTTTCGATTATGCTAACTAATTACACATTAATAAAGTCTTCGTCTTTATGTTCATTAATGTAAGTATGAGAATATTCTTGCTCATACTGATGGTAAAATAGTTTAAGATCGCATGCAGTTGACAAGACCCAACGAAATAAAATGATAACAGTATATTATCCTGATCATAAGTTTATAATTCTTCCCTTGTTTCAAGAGAGGAGAGCAATGTATACTACTGATCATACTAATGTGATTAGTAGTACATACTATTTTTGTTCCTCTATGTTTTCAGGGGAACATAGGGTTCCAAGCATCAGCTTTGTGAAGTTTCTTCAGTAGCAGTGATGTCTATTCTTTCACGAGTTTAGGTTGCTCGATTTACCTATACCAACCTTTCCTCTTTTTTACTGTGCTTACTACCGGTTAAGTGAGGTTAAGGAGCGCATGGGCTGGGAATCAAACCCCGGAACACGTGTGGTGTGGTTGGTGAATAATTCAAAGACTGAACATGTAAACATGTACTTTTATTAATTGTTGAATAAGTGGAAAAAGTACATTTGAAGGCAGGTAGTAAAATCACAATCTCTCTTCCCCACCATCCCTCGCAAAAAATAAGAGACAACCAAATTAACGACTAAAAAGCGGAGAGGATACAAGCGAGAGAAAACAGAGACACGATACAATTATTATTTGTGTGAAAAATTTATAACACCGTTAGAATAAACCCATCGAGAGACTAATATATGTGGACGGGGAGAAATAAAATGGTACACACTAAATAAATAAATAAATTTTTATGGATAATTGAATACAATGCGATTTTCTTTCATCTTCACGCAAAAATTAGGAACACAAGAGAACAAAGTGGTAAACAAATGGAAAATTGCGCTAATATCAACTTTCGAATCAGTGGGGTGATTAAAAACAGTTGGTTTGCAGAAAAAAACTGAGATCAAAAGAAGCGACTAAATGAGGATGTATACAGGTAGCACATTAGAAGACATCTATGCTTCACTAGAAAAAGAAAGACCAGATTTGCAGTATAAAATGATGCATCATCATCAATCCCATTTCACTGGTTCTCATCAACTGCACACCACCACCGACTCAAATTACAACGGTTATAAAAGGGAATGACAATAACATACTTAGTTCAATTTGTGAATAATGCTTGTATAGAAAACATTATTTAAAAAAGAATCAACGCATCCGAAATATAAGCACATTACAATTTCTCCTTCAAGTTAACATCAATTGATATGCTTTCAAAATAGAAAAGGTGGGTGGTTGGAGGAGAAGAAGATAGAAAATAGAAAAATTTAGTAAACAATGTTAGCATGTAGAGGTGGTTTACATAGTCAGTCAAGAAGGTTGTAGTTCATGAGAGTGAAAACTTGCTCAGTGAGTTGAAATCATCAATATGGATGAGTAATCACACTCTCTTCCTGTATGCATGAGTTCGGCTTGAAAGGTTTGATTGTAAAAGTGCAGTGAAGAAAAAGATGAGGAAACGTTACATCCAACTGTTGAAAAGAAGACAGTGTTCATTTGTCTCCAATTCAAAGGAGAAGCAGTATCACAAAACATTGACAAGAGAATGAAAGGATGCTTCACTGCAGCTAAGCTCGTAACGCTATACAGCACCACATGCTCTATAAACATACAAAAGAGAACATTTACTACGGTTTGCTGAAGCAACTGCAGTCAAACCTTTCAAACCGAACTCATGCATATAGAAAGAGAGTGTAATCAATCTCTCACTCCCTTGGTGATAACTGCACTTTGATTACATTGTGATTACTCATCCATATTGATGATTTCAACTCACTGAGCAAGTTTTCACTCTCATGAACTACAACCTTCTTGACTGACTATGTAAACCACCTCTACATGCTAACATTGTTTACTAAATTTTTCTATTTTCTATCTTCTTCTCCTCCAACCACCCACCTTTTCTATTTTGAAAGCATATCAATTGATGTTAACTTGAAGGAGAAATTGTAATGTGCTTATATTTCGGATGCGTTGATTCTTTTTTAAATAATGTTTTCTATACAAGCATTATTCACAAATTGAACTAAGTATGTTATTGTCATTCCCTTTTATAACCGTTGTAATTTGAGTCGGTGGTGGTGTGCAGTTGATGAGAACCAGTGACATGGGATGATGATGACGCATCATCTCATACTGTAAATCTGGTCTTTCTTCTCTTATTGAAACTTATAAAGGGAACCAAATAGAAAGAATTTATGCATTCACTAGTTAGTGGGAACAGTCGACAGGTTCATGTGAACCTAGATTTCCTTCCTTATTGATAGTGGTCAGGAAGGCATATTTAGTAAAGAGAAGGAAATGATATTTCCTTGAATACTCGAATCTAGTCACTTAGTGATTCAGTCAGAGAGTTAACTTACCAATAAGTGCTACTCAGGCTTGTGAATCAACACTATTCGTAACATTCTAATATACACGTTGACCAGTTATTAACGTGTAAGTGATGTCATACATTTAGTCCTTAGTGTTGGTAGTGTTGAGTGAGTTTTATCAGTCGAAATCGATATGTGGAGTCAGTCACAAAGCTAGGTAGTTCACAATCGTCGTGTAATTCGATGGATAAGGACAACCGGTAAAAAGCTCTTGTTGTTGCTCGTCAAAAAAGTGCGTCTACAACCTTAAAGAGAAACATTGACACGAATTCAAAGATTAGATCCCCTTTCAAACAGAAACTTAATGAGGTCCGGGGTTTCCTAGGCTCAATAATACTGCGCAGACTAAGTGGTGCTCGGGAGGCACAAACACGAGAAAACCAGGCAGGTTTTAGGCCAGGAAGAGAGTGTATTGACCATAGCTTCACCCTTCGGCAGATTCTAGAACATAGGCATTCCTACCGGCGTCCGACAATCATTATATTTCTTGACCTAAAGGCGGCATTCGATTCTGTCGACCGGGAGGTTCTCTGGCGATGCTTGGCTGTAAAGGGAATGCCGAGAAAATACATTGCACTGATTAAGGCACTCTACTCGTACTCATGCAACCAGGTGAGGGCTTATGGCGAGTTGTCATCTGAAGTGGTGACGACTAGTGGCGTCCGTCAAGGATGCCCATTATCCCCATTCCTATTCAACTTCACCATAGACGTACTAATGGACTTAACCCTAACACACTTCAGCGACTCAGGGATTGACTTCCTACCAGGGAATAATCTCGTCGACTTAGAACATGCGGACGATATAGTCCTTCTAGGAGAGGACTCTGACAAAATGCAGAGTCTACTGAACACCTCAAGCAACAATCTTCGTATGTTTGGCATGCAATTCGCCCCTGTAAAATGTAAGATGATGCTGCAGGATTGGACTTCACCGACCCCCAGATTAGAAATAGGAAGTGAAGTGGTAGAGCACATTGACCGCTTCACTTACTTGGGAAGTACCATCAACCCCAACGGGTTGATATCCGACGAAATCTCAGCACGAATAAAGAGGGCTAGTTTCGTATATGCCAGTTTACGCCGTCTCTGGCGCAGACGTGATATCCGACTATCGACCAAAGGGCATGTGTACTGCTCAACAGTCCGCTCCGTCCTCCTTTATGGCTGTGAGACCTGGCCATTGAGAGCAGAAGACATGAAAAGATTAGCTGTCTTCGATCATAGGTGTCTGCGTTCTATCTCCCGCGTGAAGTGGTATAATGAGGTCAGCAATATTGAGGTTAGGCGTCGAGTGCTAGGTAAGGCGGGGAAATCAGTCTACGAGACTGTGAAATTACATCGACTGAGATGGTTAGGACATGTATTACGTATGCCTAGTCATCGCCTTCCTCAACAATGGGCAATGTTAGCTGATATAGGGTCAGGCTGGGAAAGAGCTAGCGGCGATCAAACGAAAACATTGCACTAGTCAATGAAATCCACAACAGTTAGCTTAAGCCACGTAGGAAGATGTAGACTTCCTGACTGGTTGGGGTCCTCGGGACGGTAAAAACCAATGGTTGGAAACAATTGGTGACATGGCTCAAAATCGTTCTCAGTGGCGCAGATGCATCCACTCCTTGTGACTTATGATTTCCGATTAAACTGTTTTGTTCTCCGTTATTACTATTCCTTTGTCTCACATCTCTGTTTACTGTCTATATTATGCATTCGTCCTACTTTCTTCTCTTGTTTTGTGTGCTACATGGAGTGTGGCGACTTGAACTGCCGCACATATGTGCAAAGTTCTGTTTCCAAACTGCTAACAAGTTGTAAGCGTACTTACTGTGCAACACAATAAACATTCTACTTTCAGGTCAGTCGACTACATTAGAAGTGCTGACAAAATTATAAATCATAATCTGTGTAACCACTTTAATTGATATTATAAAAAGGAAATAACAATAACAATTAAATAAATGTGTTTATTCCTCTTTTCCATTCTAACATTGAGGTAGAAATATGGACTGTACACGATTCTTTCATACACAAAGAAGTAACTTAAATTCACAAATAGTTAACGCCACTGTTGTTTTTAAAAGGGAGGGTATTGAGAGAAGTTCTATCCTAGAACTTTCGTATATTGCTGTCTTTACATAAGTTACTCTCGACAATGGTTGTTACGATGAACAACATAGAATCCATGCAAATCCATCGGCCAACGTAGGCAACTCGACTATTCATTACGAAGTGAAAGTGGACACCTACCTTGGTGTACAAAAGAAGTACACACTACAAGCGCTATTTTCTAACTTGACGGTACAATATTTGTATTAATATCTCAAAAGCTAGTGTAAATCACATACCCAATAAAACGATTCAAATTACGTCGATGTTTACGCCAAAATACTGAAACTACTAAGATGATCAGTAACAAGACTAAGAATCCGACCATTACACCGATGATCAACAATGAATTCGCTCCTCGTCCAGCTGACAACAATTTTCCTGTATTAATACCACTACTGCTGCTGCTGCTAATACTGGCGACACCAGTGGGATATTTCTCCGTATTATCCGAAGCACTTTTTACATAGATTATATCAGCTGGATTAGAATGATAAGGATGAAGAAGTGAGACTGAAGATAGACTTGAACCAGATTTGATGTATTCATGATCTGTGAAGGTGAAAACACCACCGCCTTGACCATAAACTAAAGTAATAAAAAGAAGACAGATAGAGAGAGTTACACACTAATTATTAATATTCGTTACATTTTACACATACATATTAAACTAAGATACTGTTAAACACTGTTAACGTTACTCAATAACCAACCTACATACGCAGGCCTGATTGACTCAACGTAACAAAATCACAGTTGACATAAAAAATGACTTCAGAGTAATCTGTAGGAGAACGCGGGAACAACTTTGCCAAAGGTGTACAAATCAAAAACTTCTTAAAACTATAGAAGTCATGGGAATTCAAATGCTAACTCAATCATGAACTCTGTGTACTCACAAGAAGTTTGTTAAGCCACTGAACTTACACTTGGCCTGGTTTATCTAAACACCTGACCCTATGGAGTACATGGACCCTACTATCCGGAAAGACAGAATAGCGCATGAAACTGTTTTCCTCACCGTCAACCATGGGAACATACCTCCTGACACTGACAAAGATGTTTAGAAGGACAGGTTGGTTTCTTAAGACAACCGCCTTTTTTGGTTTGGGCGTCCGAGCAGTATCCCAGCCCTCAAAAAAACTATGAGATTTTGTGTGGTGCATATTTTGGTGCGCATAGTGTGCCAACTTCGTGTTTTAATAATAATAATTCTAACTAGGCTGCTATATAGAAAATCTACTCCGAAAAAATGAGTTCCAACACCAATCAACTGGTGTGTTTTACAATAAGACAAATTAATAATGGATACTTGTCTACTCAGGCTTCAGAGAACCAATTGACAACTTTACATATTCATATTGTTGCTTTAATTCAAACAATTGAGAATTTTTTCTTCGATTACTGATGTAAACTGACTAATTGGAGTCCTCAAGATGTTCGGTGACGCACTCATGGTGGGAGACTGCTGGCTCAAAATCTTTCTCAGTGGCGTGAAAACATTCACTCTTTGTATGCAATCTCGCAGAGTACCCCCACCCCCAGAACAAAAATCATCATTCCATTTCTCCCATATGCTATTTATTGTAGTTTCGCTGCATGCCATTATTTTTCCTTACCTTTGATGAAATGTTACAATTTGAAATATGAAGGTTTTATACAAAAGTTCTACGTTATAAACTCGGTCAGTTCAATTCCCTTGTCCCCACAATTTCATTTAACGAAGAAAAACGTTAATATCTACAGAGAGTTAAAATAAGTTTGCGTAGTTGTATAGTTTAAAAATTCCATTTAATCAATGCTAATAGCATCAAATGAGTGAGTGAGTGAGTGAGTGAGTGAGTGAGTGAGTGAGTGAGTGAGTGAGTGAGTGAGTGAGTGAGTGAGTGAGTGAGTGAGTGAGTGAGTGAGTGAGTGAGTGAGTGAGTGAGTGGTAAGCAAATGTTCTCGAATAGTTTCTATTTACACAGATTGCTTGGCATTGTGTCCTCATTAAATGAAGTAGAAAAGACTGAAACAATAAAATAAGTATAAAGCCAGTACAAACATATGTACAGTCATCATAATATCTTTTCAAGACTGTATGCTGTATGCTTACCATCTGGTGTACGATATAAATTGACTGAAGAAGCTGGACCATCACCAAATGGATTGGTAGCTGTTAAACGAAATGCATATATAGCATTGCGTAATAACCCTGAGATAACTGTATTCAAACTATCCGGTGGTAATCGGCGTTTAGACCATTCAGATAAAGGTAAACTATGATTTGCTGTATAGTAAAGGAAATAACCCGTCAATGGTCCATTAGGATGAATAGGAGGTTGCCAACTAATTTGTATACTGACAGGTTGTTCACCAGACTCAACATTAAGACCGATAAGAGATATATCTCGTGGGGAATCACCAGGCTCTAAAATCCAAAATGAAGCAGAAAAATAACATGCAAACATCAGTATTTCGGACACAATGTATAAATCGTATTTTCATCACCTCGATTACTCTTCAGTTTAATAAGAGAGAGAGACGGTGACTGATCATGATCATTCAGGATCAGATCACTCGTCAGTTTATGCGCTAGTAGATAATTCACAAAAAGGAAGTATATTCAGGTAAACACTAACTATCTTTCAATAGATGTTGATCTTTGGCCCAAGTGCTTCATTGTCACAGCTGAATAGTTAAGGGTTCGAGGCCTGCCCCACTTAATTCAGTCTAGACATATGGGTAGTATCATCAAACCTCACACAGCAAGTATGGTTAATAGCCTGGTACAAGAGAAGATCTGAATCGGAAATAAGCACAGATAAATACACACCGATCAGAAATCAGAAATACTGAGCTCAACTGATGACACTAATCGAACAATACGCATAACATAAAATGGTTCAAACCAGCCCGATAACAATTCGAGACAGGAATCTTTTATCAATTAACAGTCCTTGTGGTACCGGTGAGTGTAATGTTTACAAAGTGTCCAACATCTACAGTTTCTAGGCTATATGAAGAAGTAGTAATATAGAAGACTTCAATTATTTGTGATTTTACCATTACACTGGTAGCATTACTTTACTGTGATCCAATTAACATGCCAACAATGTAAAAGGTGAGCATAGAATTCCAGGCGAGACAAGTAGGCAGACCACTTGATGCGGTGGTTTCATAATGTCTTGCGCAAATCCGCTCATCTCTTAACACCAGAAAAGAAAGCGAGAAGTTATCAGACCAAAAAGGTAACACAATGACCATTGATTGTATAGATAAGTGAAGACATTAAGATTTTCATCTTATTCTAATTAAATGTATAAAATGTTGCTCTGAACAGATCAACAGTTCAGTCATTGACTTACACAGCCGAAAAATCTTCGAAAAAAACACGAGTTCTTCTAACCTTACGAGGGCATTTTATTGATTTATGTCAGTTATCACCTAAAATCTACATTAAACCCTCATAAAATTACATTCAGTTATTAGAAAAGATAGAGAGAACAAACGAAACAAAAGAAATTTTTCAAGGGAGATTACACCACGAATCAATACCAATATTGAACATACTATGGAACATGAAAATGATGGAAACTTCCATTTCCTCGACATTGCCATGCAACACCTAGTAGATGGTAGTCTCCAGAGTTCCATTTACCGAAAGCCTACATGGAAAGGACAATACTTACTGTTTAATAGTTTTTGTCCAAATAGCTTTAAACGAGCTCTAGTCAAGACTCTATACTACAAAGATAGGAGAATATGTTCTACACAGAAATTAAAGGAAGAATTTATGTTTCTCGAAAATATGTTGAAAAGCAACGGTTACCTTCAAAGGTTCATTAACAAGTACAGAAGATCTGAAGGCTCAAATGTCAAGCAAATCACAGTGGAAAAAAGCCCACCTACATTCAACTTGATTATAAAGGTGGAAATATTACAGCAATTATCAACAGAAGATTGAGGACGCCACTAGGCAGAGCCTATCCTGAAGCTAAGTTGGTTCCCGTTTATCGGACAACATACTCTTTGGTGCAATCAAAAGTCAACAGATATCCTTCCTATGTTAACTACAACTGTATATACAAATTTACATGTATCTGCGGGAGCAGTTACCTTGGAAGAACAGAAAGAAGCCTACATCTTCGATTTTCTGAACATGCTTTCAACAGTGTCATCGCCAGGCATCTCCTTGACACGGGTAATGAGGTGGACGTTGCAAGATCGTTCAAAATTATCAGTAGGCAAAAGAGTTCAATTCTCCTTAAGTTTGCTGAAGCAATTTCCATCAAGTGCCTAAGACCCGATTTATGCGTTCAGAAAGCAGTTATCAGTCTTTCCTTGCCCTGGTAGCTGGATGTTTTCATCTTCTCTTTCACCTGATTACGCAACGCCGAAAGAGTCCATTACGTATGAATATTATTGTTCAGGATAAAGTGATTATTATTATTACTAACATGGTATGCATGTGGTGAGAGCTGGCTGCTAGCCAAAGTTGGTAGACAGTAATTGACGTCAATGTTCCCAATATTGGTCGTGAGAAAATGAGAACAAAGGTTTTGCGGAGGCGCATACAGTTAGCATATGGATGATCTGACACAGCCACAAGGAGATGCAAGGTTAACTTTCTGTGAGAAACAACCAATCAAAAGACTGTATTTTCTACTAACAATAATCTACAATAATGTACATTAAAATCTATAAATATGTGTTGATTTTCCTTAAAAAAAGATCTGTTGCCTAGCCCTTGTCTTCTGTTGTTACATGCATATATTGATCGGTTTTTATTTAAAAATGGACTCTGTGCAAGTATGTTAAAATTGTTTCTGTAGATATACTTAATAATAACTTTGGCCTGTAAGTAGCTGATGAGAAACCAACGAAATAAGCAATGATGGTACCATTTTATTCTTCAAAAACTGTTGTTCTTGCTTTATTTAAATTCATTAAGAGGAATAAACGTATGAGAATGAATATCAGTTGAAGAAATAATGAAATCCAAGCAGTTTCTCCCTAACTTCAGACACATTGATTCTCTTAATGATAATATCAATTCGTATAATAAATCAAATCTCTACAACAACACAACCCTTGGAAAACATAGTTTCAATTTTCAGAACTAACTTTTTTCTGGTGTTTCAAATATCTGCTCTAAACTCCATTCACTAAACAACAGACGAGATTCATCATTTCGATGATTCATGTTGAAATTTGCATCTTTGAAGCTTTTTTTCTCACCAACAGCTCGAACAACTACAGAATATAAACGACCAAATTGTAAATTTTCTAATCGAGCCCAATTCTGTGTTACATTGATCAGATGTTGAGTTTTATCTAACTCAGAGTCAAGTTGATTACCTTGAGCTTGAAAAGGAAGAAATAAAAGCAGGAACACAAAAATAAGAAAAAAATATACAAAATAAGAAGAGGAGAATAACTAAATGATAGACTGAAAGATAGAAACACATCATTGAAATCCCCAACTCCTTAGCAGCTATAGGATGTCAATGTCGTGATATAAAAATGAGGAGTAGCGACCAGTGAGGTTCACCATGTTATCAGGGTGAAGTACACGCTCATAGATGCCATTTGTAGCCTATGGCGCACTCTATATGGCTAAATGACAAGATATAACAGTTCGGGTGTGAGGACAAATGCTCGGCACCGATGACATTGGCTATTGGTCGCGCTATATCGTGAAATGGTAGAAGTTGGAATTCATGAGCCATTAGATCAGGTGCTAGTACCTTAATGGTCTACGAGCTCGCCTTGTAACCAGAAAGCCCTGGGTTCGAATCCCGTCCGTCACCCATCTAAAAACTCACCTTCAAAATTGGTGTTAGAAAGTTGGAGGCAATTGGTAGGAAAAGCTGGATCTACTTTTCGTGCTTAATGACAATCACCAGCATAGCAGTAACCTGTCTAACTGAAGCACCGAGTGGCATAGATTCCAATCTCCGGGATGAAGGCATCCCATTCCTTTCGAGTTTCTGGATACGGTTCGCTAACGGGTGCACGAAACCTAAATTCAGTGCTTCATGGTGACTGCCTCCGACAACCATCTAACACTACTTTCACAGTACTCATTATCTATTTAACGACTATTTTCATAACGGTACTTGAAAACTATTGTATAATTTCATTCTAAGTTATCACTTAGTCCTTTGTCAATAGAAACAACAAGAGGAAAGTATAATACCTCAACAGACTCAACAGCCACTTGGCATTCCATGCAGCCGGCAATGAGCCACACAAATTGTGTGCGAAGGTCAGTGATGCCACCTAACTGCCGAAACCTCGATGGTGGATAGAACAGGATTCTAACTCGTGACCCACTGGGTGGAAGTCGAAAGTTTAGACCAATGAGCCACACAACAACCTGGCTTGGAATATTTGTTTTTTTTTAAAGAAAAGCAACAATTCTGTTACACTCACTCAATGATGATGATGATGATGACGATGATTGATCCCCATTCTTCATTTTCATATTTGTTCGATTCGATGCATATCCAATCATTTGATAAGCAACTTGATAAAATTTAATTGAATTACTACTAAATGTACAGTCTGAGGAAAATGAGGAAGGGTTAGACTCTTGTTCGTGTGATTGGCTACCAGCATTTGATGCCTTCTGAACACATTCAGGTTTATCCCATGTTAGTGTCACCCAATTTGAATCGGATGAAGAAACGTGTAAATTCAAAGGAATCAATAAACGTTCATTAGCTAGAAAAAAGAAAGGAAGGGAGAGAGAGGATTCTTGAGACAGAAAAGACATAAAAAGAAATCAGATCTTATGATGAAAGAGATGATTTTTCCCACATTGAATCTGTATGAACTGTACAAAAACCTTGAACACGTGAACACGTTCAACTTGATATCCATTAGAATCAGATAGACAAACGTAAAGATTCGTCCACAGGAAATTTTTTCTCGAGTTAAGTTTCATCTAGTGACTTTAAGCAGCAAAAGGGTTCCTCACAAAATTGAAAAGGTAAATGAAAAGGTCTGGCGTTCACAACCTGACTGTTGGACATGCAGATCTACCTAAGGGGGCTGGAAAAACCTGATTTCACAGACTCCTAGATCCGAAAGGACCGAATGGCGCATGAAACTGTTTTCATCACGATCGACCATGAGAGAACACCTCCTGACACGGATAAACTGCCTTGTGGATTACACTTCAAGTCAGAGGCTCAGGAGGACGGCTCGGCCCCTTAAGAAAACCACCTTTTTTCGCTTCAGGAGTCCGAGCAGTAACCCAGACCTTGCACAAACTATGATATTTTGTGTGGTGCATATCTTGGTGCTCGTAATATACCAAGTTTGTATTCCTAACAAATAAAAAACAAATTTATAACTCAATATGGGTATTTCCCGTTCACATTAGCAATTACGACAAACAGATGAAAAAACAAACACCAGGTCACGTGACCCGAAGAAGAACTAAAATCTGAAAATAACTAGACCTGATAAAGGATCTGGTACAGTTATCATGAATAAGAGTGATTATTTAGACAAAATGAATATCATTCTAAGCGACCATACGAAATTTCAAAAGCTGAGTAGCTGTAAAGACACAACTGAGGCAACCGAACGCCAAATGCCTAAGACACTAAAATCACTAGTTGAGAGTAATCTGATTCCTAAGGATACACTCGACGAATTGAAACCCTCGGGTACGCACACATCAAGACTTTATGGTTTACCGAAAGTCCACAATTCCGGAGTACCACTACATCCCATCCTAGATATGTGTCACTCTCCTTATCATTCTACAGGAAAGTGGTTAGTAAAGGCACTAGAACCGTTATATCGCGAAATAGTCAAACTCAGTGTAAAAGACGTATTTAGCTTTGTGGAAGCTACCAAAAGCCTGAATGTAAAGGGAAAGAGAATGATGTCACTGGATGTAGCATCATTATTCATCAACGTCCTATTGCTCAAAACAGTCAACTACTTATATGATCAGCTGATAGAAAGAAAGATAGATGTAGGAATCCCATCCGAAAAAGTCAAAGAATTATTATTGAAATGCACTATGAATGTTCAGTTTATGTTCAACAATGGTTTTTATAGACAAGTTGATGGTGTTGCCAAGGGATCACCTCTGGGCCCTATGCTAGCGGATATTTTCCTGGCAAAGCTTGAAAATGGTCCACTCAGAAACACGATTAAAGGACTTGACTATTATTGTCAATACGTAGATGATACCTTTATCGTTTGTGATAGAAATATTAATAAGCAAGAGCTTCTGAATTCTATTAATAGTGTTCACCCAGCTATTCATTTTTCATGTGAAGAAGACAATAACAGTTTACCTTTCCTAGAAGTCCTCCTTACCATGAAGACAGACGGATATCTACAAAGGAAATTATCTAGAAAGAAAACTTGGACGGGTCAGTACACCCATTTTCATAGCTTCGCACCGATTCAATACAAAAGAAACTTAGTTAAGTGTCTTAGCTATAGAATAAAACGTATATGTTCAGAGGAATGCATTAAGGAAGAAATGTACAAACTGAAACCTTACACTGCAAGAAAATGGATATCCAGAGAACTTCCTAAAAAAGTACATGTCAATACCTAAGGACAGGGTAAAGGTGGATACCGTAGACAAGAAACCTTTGTATCTTAAGTTAAGTTACAAAGGGGAAATTGCAGCTGACATTCTAAAATGTCCACTTAATAGAGCAGTAGAGAGAACATTTCCTGCAGCTAAATTGGTACTCAACTTCTCAACTAAACCAGTACTCACACAGCAAGTCAAGGATAAATTACCAAAGATGGCCTCATCAATGTGTATCTATGAATTCAACTGCTCATGTGGAGCTAGTTACATTGGCCGTACTCAGAGAGCTTTATCCATGCGCGTGTGTGAACATGTACCTGTATGGTTGAGTAAAGGAGTAACCAAATGTGTAAATAGTGCAGTCTGAACCCACTTGGTAGATACTGGACACCCGATAAAACTTGACCAGGCGTTCTCAGTTATTTACCGCGTTCCTAGTAATTTATCTAGAGGAGCTCGACTACGTCGGCTGTAATTAATGCCAGAAGACCAACTCTTTGTATACAGAATTATGTTCAATCTCTATGTTTACCTTGGCCTACAATAAAGCCAACAAATCCTCCATTAACACTATAAATTCCTTTCACAATTATCTTTTCTTTTCTTCTTCTTCTATTCCTTTGTTTCATTGACAAACGCTCATTTTCGACTTTTATGATTTCATGACCTTTCTTATGATTTCATTACATTAGGTTTAAGTAGTGCTTTCCTAACCTGCTATCGTATTTACAAAATCCTGTTCATTCCACTTCATTATATTCATTATTATTATTTGACAATCATTCCTCAATAGTGCTTGTAATTTTACACCATATCATCGTTATTACTTTACAATCATTCCTATTGTCGTTATTTTCAACCTTGAACTTACGTCTAGACCGCCCCATTCGTTGGTTTATTTTCATATTGTCTTACACACCCTAATTACACTCACTCTTGAAACCTGTATTTTCTGTTGACTATATTTATATATATATATACACATCATTAAATTAAATTACTTCATCTCATTTTGTCCCATGTTCTCATTGATCATGCATATTAAAAAACTAACTGACTATTGTTTCATCCCATCTTATACTTGTTCCACAATACAATACACTTTCTGATATGATTCTAATTTGCCTTTCCTGACTGGCTATTGTATGCTTAAATTAATGGATTTATAATTGTAGAGCCTGAAGAAGAATTTATTGAAACCACAATTGTTCGCTCTAACTATTTTGTTCCAAAATAAGTTATGTTTGTAAAAATAAACAAAAAAAAGAAAGAGACTTACAAGCAGCCGGTTTTGTTCTAGCTGTTGTAAGGGCTTCTTTAGTTTCTTGATTCACACCGACAACAACAACTTTCACATAATAAGTAGTATCGTATTCTTTTTGGAAGGAAAATAGATAGGAAAATAAGACAAAAATAATAAGTGAAGAAAATATGAAGGTAAGCCGCAGTAACACCAAAAAATAACTACTTGTTCTTCAAAAACAATAATTGGTTTTAGTTAATTTTACAGTTTTTTCGCCGAAACGCAAAATAACCATTTCATGTTTTCCTGAATCGAGTTTTATAAGGATCTCGAAGTAGATTTCGTCACTATCAGACTAAGATCATTTAGAGAATATCACTGGAAACCACGATGCACTGGACATCTGTCCCATCCCTGCTGTGCAGCAGTGCACGACGCCAGTAACTCTCTGCTCGGGAAAGAAGCTTCACTTTTATCTGGCCAGTTCACTGATTATACATTCAGACGCTGGGTCGAAGAACCCAATCACCCGTGAATTCTTACTTCTGTCAGTTCACAATATATAGAGTTTACACAAACCATCGTGTCTTCTGATTAGAATATCAGGAAATTCATCCAGTAGCTGTTGAGTTGGAGACTGATGTAAAGGTTTTAGGGTTATTTCAGTGCAGATTTTGTCATGGACCGACATTACTTCCTATCTGTCTAAAAGATATTCTCCCAGTTTGTTATGATTATCCATTGATTGGGAGCACAATTCATTAATAGTACACAGCATTCCCCCATTAGAACTTTCTGGATCTTAATCATAAGGTAAAAGAATGATGGGATCATTGAAAAATGTTATCCATAGAAAGGAAACGTGGACAAGTCGATACTTAAATGATTACATTTCTTGTCTACCTGGTTCCCGATCGATAGCTGCTAACTTGATGTGGTAGCCAGGCTTGCATATCACAATGATCCAACAAGCTACACTGGCTGAAACAAATGTTCCTGCAGGTCCTATCATGTCAGAAAGATTGTTAGGATAATGATTAGACCAAAAGCAGTTACTGGCATAGTGTAAAATTTTTTTCTAACACTATGCTGGGGGTCTGTGGGCAAAGTCGTACTGCTGGGGTAATAGGGATGTAACGGCAGTGAGGTTTTTCCCTCAGATGGCGTCGAGTGCTAGGTAAGGAGAGGAAATCAATCGACGGGGTTGTGAAGTTACACCGATTGAGATGTTTAGGACATGTGTTACACATAACTCCATTATGGACAAGACTTTATTTTGATAAATCACAGTGTCATCAGTTAATATTACTGTGTAACACTGTATGACTTATCAAAATAAAATCTTATCCATAATGGAGTTATGCTTTACCACAGTGCCCAAGTTTTATATTTATATCGCCTGTTCCGCAACCGTTTCCTTTGAGCTGAAATAATTTTTTCAAATATGTTGTATGTTATTCCAGTTATTTGAACTTGAGTCATTTTTAAGGTGTTAGCAACTGATAACAAGCCGTGTAATTAAAAATACATGCTCATTTTATCCTGTTAATATATTCGTTCTCCTTTTAATCAAACAAACAGGGGGAACTGAGTATATGAGATGTAACTGAATTCAAGTAAACTGAATCGACTACTTCTCATTTCTTGTTTCTGTATAAACTAGACCGCATAACCAATGATATTCCAGTATGTGGTAGACTGGATCATGAGAGAGACTGTGAGGGATGAAAAGACAGGAATATGTTGGACCAACAAGGTTAACGAAGATCTGCATTTTGCTTGATATTTCTGTCTAATGTCACACAAACTCGAAGATCTACAGTTCAAAACCAGCAAGCTGACAAAAGAAGCAGCGAAGGCAGAACTTCAAAGGAAAACAAGTGATGACGATACCTGACCAACAACAACTAGCATCAGTCACCATCAACGGAAGAAAACTGAACGAGGTCATCATTTTCACATATCTACGTACCATCGCTTCAACTGCAGATGGCGCGGATGATGTCAAAGCCAACCAGCATCGGAAAGGCAAGACAAACCTTCATTATTCTGAAACCAGTGTGCAAATCTGCTGCACTCAGCATGAAGAACAAGATTCCGATTGCCAACACTAATGTCAAGTCAGTCAGTGTTTCTATACGGTTCAGAGATTTGGTATCACCAAGAGCATTTCGAACAGGCTTTACACTTCTCTCAACAGCTTCCTACTTCGCTCCATACAGCAAATCAGAGGGCCGATCAGAAAAGATTAGCTATTTTGCTTCAAAGGCTGTGCAGAACGCGTGAGGAGTTGGTTCGCCAACAGCAGGCTGAGTTTTGTTTCACGCCATCGATACATTGATCATGTGTTCAACCCTCGTCAGTCGCTAGAACACCGTCACACATGTTGGAGGCCAACAATCGTTGTGTTTCTTGATATTAGGACTGCCTTTGATTCATTGGGCAGAACTGCTTTCTGGAACTGTCTGTTAGACGCAGAGAGAGGGGTGCACCTGGGAAGTTTGTTAACATCCTGAAAGCCCTATGCAGAAATACCTCACCTCAGATATAGTGAGGACATACTACCAGTTATCACCACTGTTCTCAACCAACAATGGAGTTGGAGAAGGTTGTCCAATCTCTCCACCGAAGAAATTCTGGAGGCAGTTCAGAAAGATGTGCGTGATGGTGGTGTAAATCTGCTCCTCGGAGAAAGCCTTTTAGACCTCAATTATGCAGACGATATCTTCTTATTGTGCGATAATATAAAGCCAGTCCAAATCGCAATTAGCCGATTGGTGGTCAGTGCCTGTATGGTATACTGCTAACCGCCGTCTAAGTGCAAAGTACTGTTGAAGGATTGGCAGGAGCCTGTACCTGTTCTCACCTTTAAAGGTGAACCGCTTGAAGTTGTCGATAATTCTGTGTATCTGGGTAGTTAAATGAGTGTTGACGAAAGTGTGACGGATGAGATCTGTAATTGTATCTTGAAGGTTAGGGTGGCATACGCCAATGTGGGCTACCTGAAGTATTGTCACGACATTAGCCTGGCTGTCAAAGGTCGAGCTGCTTCCGTGTGCGAAGTCATGCTTCACGCCTGTGAAACCTGGCCTCTCCTAACTGAGGATGTGAGGTGACTCTGCGTATTCGATTGTCGCTGTCTCCGTAGGATTGCTTGCGTCCAATCGCACTATCATGTGAGCAGTTCTGAGGTCAGCGGGCATATGTTTGGACGCGGTGGAGGTCACTGGTCATTATGTGTAGTCATCTCGCAACACCAGTCTCGGTGGCTTGGAAAAGTGTTGCAAATGTCATCCCAGTGGCTCCCGTACCTGTTTCTGTTCTCTAGCCCTGAGACTAGATGGAAAAAGAAGAGAGGTAGTCAGCCTATGATGTGGCGTCGTGGGATGAAGGATATTCGTGTAACATTAGCATCAGTTGGTGCATCACGACTCTCTGGTTGGGGTCCGAAAGATAGTTGGAATCGGTGGCTCGAAACGTTATCAGAAAAGTTGCCAAGGATCGCAACGAATGGTGAACACGCTGCAAATTCCTTCTTTCTTCCTTGTCTGAAAAAAATACCATGAAGTAATGAATATTGAGTGACTTTGACAAGTATGCATTCTCGCTTTCTAGATGACATCCGTCATTCATTCTCTGCTTATTTTATTTATTTATTGTCATTTTATTATTGCTGTGTTGCTCATCTCATAATGCCCTATACAGTACCAAGTTTGTGTTTGAAATAATAATTAAAAACCATAGGTGAACTGGAGATTGATATTTAGATAATGGAATTTGTTATTCAGTTAGAAATGCCCAATACAACCATCTTAGAAACCAAGAGAATAGACATAAACAAATAAAGATTATTCGTACCGAGATTTTCAATTGAATAACTTGTCTGATTCCTCGGTAGTGAAACAGAATCCGGTCCAGGATGCAATTTACCCCAAGAAATTATATAGTGTGATATATCTGTCCTGACAGGCTTGTATTTTGATGGAATATCCAAATTCCCATTAAAACTACTACTGTCAACAACACCAGTAGAAGTAGTTTGAGGAAGGCTAGATGAACTAGCCACAACATGTGGTGGTAACCAAAATACTAATAGACTTTGTTCATCAGCTAAAGCCTGGAGATTTTCCACCTTCAGTGTGAGACAGAGAACACAAACGATACACATTAATGGAAAATATTTGTCATAGAGAATAAAAAAGAATCACAGGATATGAATGAAACTTTAAATAACGCTAAAAGCTGAAAATCTTTGTCTAAGTTATTTCACATTCCTCATTGATTGAATTTTAATTCGACCGAAGTAAGTCGGTCTCTGCTGACAACCCAGATACCTACAAGGATGTTTAGAAGATTTCTGTAGTTTAACATAATGTTATTTAATTCAAATTGGTTAGCAGTAGAATCCAGGATGAGCATTTCGTCCTATTCGGACGTACATGCAACTATACAGTGTGAGTGATGGTGTTCCCGCTAAAGACTCGAACCTGGCATCAGTTGTTTCAAATGCCACGGTGTTATTGACTAGACCAGTAGGAATACTCATTCACTCACCACTGAGGACGTGCGTACACTCAGGAGTGTCGGATAGAATGAAACACGCGTCCTTGATTCCACCGGTCTCATATTGTTCCTATCCTTATAATTGTGATAGTTATTATTTATTCTTTTATTCCTTTGCACTTGGAGTGAAACATAGGTCTTCAAGTTTGAACTTTGAAGTTTCAGAAGCAGTGGTGTTCTTTTAAAGGATGAGGTTTCTGGCTTCACACCCACAAACTTCCCCTCTTACAGCGCTTACTGCCAGTTAGGTGAAGTTTAGCTTTACATCAGCCTGAGATAAAATCCAGGACCACATATGACGTGGTCGTTACATATTCTGTCACTGAACTACCAACATGGATTCCTCTGATAGCCACCATCAACCAAATGTCAACAACATTCTACGTGAATTAGGCATTTTTAAAATGACTATCAAGTACACATGAAAATGGAGAGAAGCGGGACTCTAAAAGTGAAATAAATGTTTTTAGAACAGGAAGCTTGAATAACTTTCACAGTGAACATCATTTGTTTGCAGACCAACTAAACACAACACTCGATTGAAAGATTAGATTTTAAAGCGCCAATCCATAAAGTTGCTGACTACTTGCTTCAACAGTATCAGGAATAGAAAGGCTTCTGTCTGGATAGTGTATATATGACTACTGGAAACTTAATGGTTAGCGCAGCTTGAATCGGTTCTAACTGCATTATCCCATCAGGGTTCGATCCCAATCAGAGATGTGGGTGACTACTGCTAAAGAGCCTGAAACTACGATGAAACAATTGTCCAAAAACCTCCCCGGTTTTGAATAGTTCTTTAACTGACATTAGTTTTGTAGTGTAAATTAAAATCAACCTCATTCCTGCAAATCTCAAATGTATCAGGAAAAGAAGAGTGTCAATACCAATATAAGAAGGAAACTAATCATCGAAAACAACAGCAAGTAAGATAAACATTTTATCTATGGAGAATCCCCAAAACTTCACTACCCACATTGGAGTTAACCCACTGAAGATTTTGTCAAAATGGACAATGAAGCTTCGAAATTAGTAAACCACCCAAGTCAGAGAATATATATATAACAACACACAGAGAATTATTCACAGTTCGTCTCATACCAGACATATTATTTATTAAAACTGACAACCTGGCCATAAAAGACAAGTGGAAAAAAGAAGCTTAAAGCCACAAAACTAAATAACGATTCACAGACAAAAAATAAATTTCCCTCTGTAAGTGGAAGAGAAGAAGAAGAAGAGTATAGGAAGAAGAAACCCCGAACTGAACATATAATAGGCGACACTACGCACGTGCTTTTACACTGCAAAACACACACGCACTGTGAGAATTTACCATACTCACTCCCGTCTTGGTGGCCGAAAACGGTGTACGTGGAAGTAGGCTTTGAAGTGAGGACTTAATAGTTGGGAAATCCTTGAGTTTAAGCCAGTGAAATACACCAAATCCTAACCTCTTCAAAAAGGCAATTAACCAAGTGAAGTTAGATAGTTAGTTACCCAGGCCAGATTTTCATTCATATGCCAGACTATGAGCCGCACACATTAATTGTGTGAGGACTGGTGATACTATGCAGTCAAGCCAAGGCTTAAATCGAGACGTACACCCGGCTGAAATGCAAGTAAGTGCTTAAGCCAATATACCACATATCTAAGATAATAACAATAATAGTAATAAATCAGTCATAATATGTAAGCCCCAACCGATAGCTGCTACCTCGACGTAGTGGTCGACTTCGCACATCGCAGTGACTTAACGACTATACACTGGCTGGAACTAGTCTTTCTACCAGAAAAGTTGTTTTTCGCTAGCGGGTAGACGAAAAGAAGTCATAGTGTAAGCCAACTCCAAAATCCATTTCAAACAGTTGTCTCCTGGACTTGGCGGTCACACACAACACTAAAGCTATTTCTCTTTCCAGTACTCACCAAGATGAAATCACACACAATGTGTGTAGACTATTGGAATATAATTATGATTAATACCTAACCACCACCACCACTAAAAACAACAACAAACATCAATCACCATCAACGGAAGAAATTTGAGCAAGGTTACCACATTCACTTATCTAAACAGCCCCGTTACAACTACAGATGGCGCGGGTGAAGATGTCAGAGCCAGCCAAGATCGGAAAGACGAGACAAGTCCTCATTAATCTGAAACCAATCTGGGAGTCTATTGCACTCAGCATAAATAACAAGATTCCGATTCTCAACACTAATGCCAAGTCAGTTACTGCTTCTATGTTGTACATAGACTTGTAGCGGCACCAGATGAATTTCCTACTGGCTGCCGCAGACTTTCGCCAACAACTACCTTCGCTTGATGCTGATAATCAGATAAGCAACCAGAAGGGATTAGAAAGTTTATGGTCAATCATAGAAGCAGCTGAAGAGGATTGCAGAGAACAGGATGAAATGGAGATGTACGTTCGAAGTCCTGTGTTCCACTTGAAACCTAAGAAAATAATAATAACTCTAAATATTATATCGTGCATTCACTGGTTTCCTGTAAAATGAAACTAGACACATATTTCGAAGAACAAACTTACAGGTCCTAGTGAAGAAACCAACTTCCTGTTGTCTGACAGAGAAGGTAAATGAGTCATTGGTGCACTAAGGCCTTCAGATGTAACATCCTAAAAAAGAAGACGAGTAAGAAAGAATAGTCAAAACAGAAAAGAAAATATTAAGAACAAAATACTTGCATTTCCCATCAACAGATTGTGTTTTGACAGGTTTGATAACACCAGCTAGAGGTGAATTGAAATGCCAGAGAACACTAGACAGCTGTTTCTTTCTAGTGTGGGATTCTCCATCAGTATGCACCGACTGGGGTTCGAACCTAGAATCTTCCAGTTACAAGGTGACTTCATAGACAACTGACTTTTATTGAATTGAAACGAATTTCTCCTAGTGCGGACGCCTCGATGAGACTGACAATATTGATCCAAAAACCTCAGTCCACAGGGAATTCAAAATAATAATTTCAACATGTAACAACCGACACCTGATGTATAAATTATCTCCATGACATAACGAATACACCTTTGGCGTTCGAAAATCAATGGATGTGGGATTTCAGTCTCACGGCGAACACCATCATTACACAAACTGGTAATACAGGTACATAATCCAGATGATGAGTCTCGAATAGGACGAAACTGGATTCACAGTTAACCGACACCCAAAAGGTATCAAGCGAAAATACTTCGCATCAAAAAACAATTACTTTTATTCAGGTGTAACAGATTAGTAGGATTATTATATGTGTAAAACTTGGGCACTGTGGTAGCATGTAATTCCATATTAGGTTGATTATTAGATATATCGCACAGTAAAATAGTATTATTTACTGGATGACGTCTCAAACACAATTATCTATTGTTCATAATCATAGCGTCAATCATAATAACACAACTTCGAAACCCGAGTTTATGGTTTTCTTTGTTCCCTCCTATTTGTCGTAGGGGTAGTGGAATTTTCTAGATGTCTGGATGGACAGGTTTCGAATCATTCCTATTACACGTGTTTGCGGTTGATACGATAAATAAAGCTCCTGTTATCAATCTCTCCCTCCATTCACCCTGTGACATTAGATTTTAAAACTATCATCTTATCCCGTCCAGCCTATTGTATGGTTGTGTGTAATTGCATGCAGTGAGTGCCATGGCTGAACTAACTATTCTCCAGATTTCTTATCTTATTCGGGTCAACTAATCTAGATTTTGCTAGGTTTTTATGTTGGGCTAATCTGACTGCCCCTGTTCTACTAGTTTGACCTATGTATTTGACCTGACAATCATTCCAGCAGGGTATTATATAAACTAAATTGTTTCGTTTTAAAGGCTCCACAGGATCCTTTAGCCGACAAAGCTTGTTTCTAATTGAGTTTGTGGGTTTCAATGGCACTTTTATTCCTGCCTTGTAAAGAATTCTGCGTAAGGTTTCTGAGGTTCCTTCCTTGTTTGGAATTACTACTGATGATTTAGATTCCTTATTGTTGGTGTTGTCTTGCGCATATTTGACATGCATGTAGTTATTATGATTATTACTATTATTATTATTATTATTATTATTATTAAAAGTGGTAGTTGTAGGATGGCTTTAAATACAAGTTAGAAACAGAAATCACTCTTTTCTGTAAAATATGTATTGCCATGTCTTAAAGCTCTTATTTTATGGAGAAGTCGTTTCTCAGATGTACTTGCCAAGTAATATTTGCGTATGGCTTAGATTACGTAAGCGATTTTATGCTTCGCTACTTTCGTCGATAAATAGCAATTGACTTTTGACCCCACCCCACCCCGGTATAGATAACTTTATTATGAAATCATCTTAGAATCACTAACTAACTACAAAATATTAACGTGAAACAACAACCCAAACTGGGTTCGAGCCTCTGTGAGAAGAAGACCAGTCTCTAGGAAAACAAGTCCTATATCCAGCAGTCGAGTTGCAAATAGAAAGAAACCCAACTCCTGGATTCCATTGTTAGCCATACATCAATCAATCAATCAAATACGCAAACCATGAAATATAATCACTCGGGTTCATTTCCAGTAGGAAAGATAAGTATTAACTAAATAAAATAAAACTTACACCTGATAAGACTTCTCCATCAGCACTATTCTCTCCATCGGAATCAGCTTTATTCTTTTGAGTAAATGTAGTAAATGTGATAATATCAGAGTCTGGACCATTGCCTGCTCGAGTAGCTGCTGAAATAGTTAACTCGTATTTTGTGCCAGAAGTCAAACCTAGAAGAGAAAAGAAGGTATGCGAATACAAAAATGACCGACTGACTGATTCAGTGACTGACGAATCAACGTCAGACATTTCATAGAAATCACTCAGTTTGAGTAACCACAATTTGGGTGTGAAAGGGATTAATTAACTGAAGATTCGAGAAGACAAAGATTGTGGTATTATCCTAACGATCTTGAGTCATCAAGAACCTCAAAAACCACTGAAGACACCAGTTATACAACTCACACCTAACTCTGCGTGACTCATAACAAAATTTAATGACATCATGGACCAATACCCCATTTGTAGTCTGACCGGTTTTTTCAACCTAATTATGCTTCAGCTGAAACTGAATGACAAAGAATATCTTAGGCATCCTAACCAGTTACGAAGCATTAGAAATTGAAAGGAAACTTGTAATCATCAGTGTAATTTCTGGTTTCAACAACGACGTCACATAGACGTAAATTAGGATATTAATGAGGTATGCAAGGTCTTTGATGATACCACAGAGGCACCGAGAGCAGTGCCAGGTAGCAAATGAAGAATGCACCTTCCGCATCCTGAATGAGATTTAATTAGCAACCAATCCTACACAATAGGACTGATACAAGTTCCCAAGTACATAGGGTGGTCAACATATATCACCAGTTCACTTTCTAACCGTAAATTTAAAAAAGCACAAACCTATCATCTTCAGCGTGACGGAAGTGAAGTGCATGACAAATTTAAACAGAATACAGGCATCTTCACTTAAAAAAAATTGTATTTCCTGCATACTCTGAGTAAACCAGACCCTCCTTCAGCTGCAAGTGAACTCCAAAAAAATCCGGATTCAAACGAAGTAACAACCATTAGTGCCTGTACAATCTAATAAAAATAGTGATATCGGGCATTCCTAACAGACACCACTGGTAACCCCTCACTTCAGATGACAATTCTCCACAAGATCTTTATAAACAGAGGTGTGAATTCGAGAATAACACGTTGATTTGCACAGAAAACATTTTCACCATCAGATATTGTTGCAAATATCGATCAACAGAGTCGAATGCCACCTTCAGGTTAGAAAATAATATAAATGTCAGAGACCAGTGAATATCATAGTGTTTCAAAGCGTCTCAATATGTGTGAAGAGACTGAATTCTGACTGTTCTCTTGAAGTTAGTTTTTTCCTACCTTCACCTTATCACCGAAGAACCATCGAGACTGGGATCTTAGATGTCATATTATTAGTGAAGCACATTTATTTGTATTTGTCACGGGAAGTTGTACCTCTTTTCTCATAAAACTGGGATAACCACCGATATACACCAATGAACTTCTCTTTATACACAGCTTTGACATACTTGTCAGAAAGCTGGATAGTCAAATACTCTGCCACCGATTGTTTTCCTCGTCCATTCAAGAGCGAGAAAACACTAGCACGGGTTAGTGTATAGTCAAAGTTCAAATCAGCGGGAGCAGCAGTTTCCCAACAAGCAGATGAGTAAGTACTGATTTTTCATTTCACCCCCAGCTATAGGCAGTGGTTGCGTAAGCAGCTTTGAAACCAAGTCAAACTTAGTATATATAACAGGCAGTGGGTGGGTGGCTACAGATGTACATTGCTAAAAAGAGCCGCAATAGAACGAAACATTTACCGAACCGATGCACCCTCGTTCATCTAACTGATACCGATTCATAATACAACAAAAAAAAAACCTTGAAATCAATCGAATCACATACACACATAGAAATTCAACATATAAATACACTATATAGATACCTTTTATCAACTGGCTTAATTTATTACGAACCATAATATAACGTGGACGTAACCAGTCATCACATGATATATTAATACGATATACAATAAGTTGGCCATTTCTATATTTCACAGGCGGTGGTTGCCATGATACTGTAGCCACATGAGCTCCAACAGAATGTACACGAATCTTGATGAATTGAAAAGAAAAATTTAAAAAGCAGGAAAAGGATCGTTAAAAAATAGTTGGCGGTAAACCGAATTGTGACTAATTACTTTATCCGTCAGCAAGCCTGATTCCTATTTGGATCAATGGTAACGAACAGTAGATCCAGGATGTGCATTTCATTCATTTTGAAACTCATCTATCCAGCTGACGAAATGAGCATCCTAGATTCCACTGTTAGTCACCACCAACTAAAATAGTCATCAGATATCGTCGAAGCACCCGAGCATTCCACTCCAAAATAGTCAATATTCAAAAGGAAATACAAATTAATCTTGATTGACGTTTATTGTGTCCAGTATATATTACGATATTGAATTAATTATGTTCTCTGAGCTGGTTGATTTCATTGCAGAGCTTTCGTTGTCCTTTCAGGCAACATCTTCAGCTCAGGTTTCAGTAAAAAATGAACTGATTCAAATTCTCCATGAATGATGTAATTGTATCTCCTGGCAACCGTTATCATGACTGATTGATCATTTTCATTGATTTAGAATTTGAGCTTTCTTGTTACGTTACTTACTTTTTATTAGTGGGTAAATTTGGTCTACAGTAATGTGTTTGGTAATTGCTTATTCGCTTGAGTACCAGGATTCTAGAAATTTCTTAGGATTTCTAGTGTTCCCTCTATTTGAAATTTCTACATTATCACAATGAAATCGGTGCCCATAATCATCCACATGCATTGGTATGAAAGAATACATATGATGACTTTTTACAGTCAATTTGTGTTCTTGGTTTCTGATTCGAAGGGGACACCCACTTTAAATCAACCTGCTCAGAGAACACAATGAATTCAATATCATCCACCTTGAGCTACAAATCTTCTCCATTATTTCAACATATTACGATATGAAGATTCCGATGTTTCAAACACAGATTTCCCGAAACATGCAAAACATGACCGCAGCAATGATTGGTTCAACCAAAATTGCTAGAATTGAATAGTTCGTCAAAATTTGTCACAACATCTATTCCCTGAAAGTCATTAACAAAGTGAAAGAGAAATCCACTAAATTCAGTATATTTGAATTGCAAAAGTCATCGCGCTACAGGCATGGAGATGACAGAGCTGCGTGTGTTGAAAAGAATCTCGTGCAACTTCCTTATATCTATCATTGAACTAATTTCATTTGGTTTTAGTATTATCCTTCATATTTCCTCCTTTACAAATCCACAGCCATCATTATTTCATTCCGTTTCATATGTCCATCTTGAATACAACTACTTTTTATCTATAACGCAGTCGTATTTCTAAGCTTTTATACTTTCAGCTTCTATACTCACGGTTATAATTTACCTTCACACCCCATCACAATTGAAAATTTTCAAATCAAGTTGAAAAATTATCACTGTTTTCTAATTTCTTGTTCGACTAAGCAAAATTCGTAAGCATGTTATCTTGTAGCAGAAAAACGCACAAAATATTGAGGTTGTACAGTAAGTAATTAAGATTAAATTCTTCAATTGAAGTTCTTATTTTCACCATTATTGTCTTATATACCTCCTATTTCGCTTAATCTTCAAATAGCTATCTCTATATTTTGCTGGCTAAATCGGTCTAGACGACCGATTGATAAATTAGACCATTAAATTGAAATGGAAGAAATAATATGAATATGATTAGACAACTTTGAAGACTAACCTTAAACAACTGATTTAATCAATTATTTGTCAACTAAACTTTTCGAGGTTAGTAATAATTATATATTTAGCATACTTTTGTATAATAACGGTCGATCGTTCTCACAGGCTCGAATTAGTCTGCCCTCTGTTTTCGTTTGAGTGGAGGGGCTCAAAAGTGATTAGAAGTCAGTATGTGATATTCGACTTTCAGATGAATGACATAGTGTCTTCTCGTACTGCACCCTCATTGTAAGCATTATGATTATTAGTGTCAGCAATGTGAACCCGTATCATCAAATTTTTGCGACCTTATCGATCCCCATTACACAGAAGTGTCCTCTGTCGTTCATGTTACTTATTTCCCTTTTACGTATTTTCTATAGTTTCCATCCATACTCGTCATATCAGTGCCTACAGGGGTTTACTGTAAATTGCATACACACTTGAATAAACATGACAAAGTGATTTTTAAATACTTATTGGCGATATAGACTTGGATAACTAGCCCGAAAAAAAAGGAAAAGCTAGCAACCCGTACCCCCGAGAAAATTAATCCAATCGCTAGAGAAACTCCAGAGCGCACAAAGAGAACATTTAGAAGGACAAACTTATTCTTCACTGGAATCTGAAAGATGGAATGACACCGGAGAGGTGAAAACCTCTGGGTTTTATTACGATGACAGCAAAAAACAGACATAGAGACATGGAATATTCACACAATGTTTGAAGCCGGCTTCTAAAAGAATTGAGATAAGAGATGAATGAGTGTTAAAATGAAAATCTCAACCCCATAAGGGATTTAAGCCAGTTAGCCTCCCTTGGATTTCTATCTAACTCAGTATTCCCTATTTTAAGCTTAGCGCTAACAAATTACAGCTCTAAGCTATACTAACCCGATCATTATTTCCCTACACCCGTTACAGGACGTTATGCCAATCGACTATGTGTACAAATTACACATAACTGTCCGTAAACAGAATACAAGCTTATAATAATTCGGTGGAAAAAAATTAAAAGTGTGGAGGAAGGGGTTTTCAGAAAGTAATACATCCCATCTTCCAACCACGTCTCCCTTCAAAACTTACATTCATAGGTGATTTCGACGGTGGTCTTGAAGCAACACGTGATGAAGATGGTAGGTAAGCTGAACGACCAGTGATATTTTGATCGGTTATCGCATAGATTGTAATTTGATAAAAAGCATCTGGTGTTAAATTTAACACAGTGTAACTTAATCGATTGTCGGCATGCACAGTTAACTTATTCACAGGTACATTAATTTCAATAGGTTTACGAGACATAACATCACTGGAATCAGTTGGTTCAGAGGTGCGATAACGAAGAATTATTCTGTCCAAAAGAAATGATATATATATTATTTAAGAGAAATCATGTGATAGCGACGTGGAATGCAAAAGCGACGAAAAAAAAATATGCAAAATCTGATCAGAAAAACATGACAAACCACAGTATATACACTTAAACTACGGGATTTGTGGAGATTTGAATTAATATCGATTGACAGATTTTTCGGTCCAAGTGGTCAATGACTTTGGTCTTGTAGTCTGAAAGCCTCCGATTCAATCCCTGGTGGGGTCGTGGGTGCGCAATGGTGAAGAGTCCGAGACAAGGACGAAACGGATGTTCAGTGATCCTACTTTTTAACGATCTCCCTAACTAACTGATGTAGGCTAGTGACGAAATCTAACCACTGAAAAACAAAACATGATGAAAGTAGTATCTCTTTTCAATCAACCAGTAATGAGCTATGTGGTTTTACAGACTGAAGTGTCATGGAAGTTGAACCCAGGATCTTTATGTTGTATGACATGTTTGAAGCTTTTGCTGAACCATGCTTCAACTTCACAGTATAATATTTATGAAACTGTTAGAACAATACTACTTGATTACTATACACACACATTCATATACGCACGCACGCAGATACATTTATTATTTATTATTGCTTTCATTCTGTTTTGGTTAATAACAGTTTTATCAAGCACGGTTTATTTTACTCAATAATATTTTCACCAACCTTTACTTTTTTCTTACTACATTTTCCCACACTTTGTCTGTGATCACGACCATTAAAAACACTTCAACTTATGTATCGCTGCTTAAATTTTGACCATTTATACTCAATTACCCTTTATATAAATAAACCAAAAGACAAACAAAATTAACCTACTGATAAGAGACAATTTTTTCAATTGATCCATTATTATCATTGACATCAGTTATGAAAGATGGTGCTTTCCATGAAATAGTTAAAGTACCATATTCTCTTGATTCTGCAGTTATATCTCTTACAGCAGGAGGACGATGAACTTTTTGAATTGAAAAAACAAAACAAAAATATGAACAGCAAGTAAAAGCAGGGTCGGGACTGTACCGATAAAAATACAAAGTTCAACACAAACAAACAAACAGGATAATCGAAGCTATGCACAATACACATACATTTTCACGTGATGGCTTGCAGGGATTTGATTAGTAACATCAGTAAGGAAACCACTCGGAAACCAGGGAGTATTGGAGTGCTGTTTCACTCTAGTTTGAGATTCTTCATCAGTGTGCACTACTGTTCCCCAATGGAGATCGAAGCCAGAACCTTCAGGTTATGAGGCCAAGCTTGTTAAGCATTCAGCCACTGGGACAGGATCAAAATCACTCACGAGTTCTAACTTCCGGTGATTCGCAATATATGTAGTACGGCTATCAGTCAATGTTACCGGCGAATAACTATCGCCTCACCTAACGTGAATTGACAGGAGCTGGAATTCATAGGCCATTGGATTTAGTCCTAGTGGCTGAATGGTCGTCTATGAGCTCGCTTTGTTAATGAAAAGGCCGATATTCGAACGCCGATGGATGTGTACTGAGGGGAAGTCAGAGGCTAGGACGAAACAGCTTTCCAGTACTCTATAACTTCCCAATGGTTGTTAAACTGATATCAGCTCATGATTAAACCTGTAAACAATAAATAATGTTTATTTTCCTTTCTCATTAAGTAGTATGTCTGTGTGCCACCCAGACTTCAGTCTAGAGAAGCCTTGATTTAACATATCTCAGATATACATTGAAAGCTACAGTTATCATTTTAGACGCTATATTATGACAGTATGTAGTATGTAGAAAAGGAGAGTACACTGATTGGTCTACTCCTGAGTCCTAATGTTGACTGCAGTTTCTATCAGTGAAATTTACAGCGTGATCACCAAGTCACCTAAGTCTTCATAGCACTGCACTTTGAAATGATGTGTTAAGTAGCAATATGCCTTATACCTGAGTTTCTTAGCTATTGACCCTCATCACCACCACCACCACCAAAGGCGTATATCTATGACCTTGAAGAAAAATGATGATCCCTCACCACGGAGACTTGAACCTATATATATATATATATATATATATATATATATATATATATATCACCCAGAGTTGCAGTCCGAAACGTTAGAACTGAACCACCAGACTGAATAAAGATGGGAGTAAAATAATTCACACAACCTAGTTAAATAATAACAACGCAAAAGGAACGAACGAACGAACCAATGAACTTAAAGTACATAAACATAGCCAGTTATTGACACCGAATAAGTAACACCATATTCATAATTAAAAAAACAATGAAAGAAGTACAGCAATATTAAAACAGGATATGCGGTTTAAGTTGGGGACTAACAATTCACCTTCTTGTCACGACTGGTCGTTCCAAGGACAATGGAGCATTTGTCCGCCACCTACCTCTTCGGTCGCTATTCCTCAACTTTACCATTTAAACATCATGAAACAAAATTATGTGTATATATATTAATGGCAGACTTGGAACTTACTCAGTGGCTTTGTCTTAAATGTGACAGATGCAAAATTATCTGATCTTTGACCTGATTTTTCTATTAAAGTAGGGAAAATCTTCAGTGTATAAACAGTTTCAGGTTGGAGTTCAACCAAACGAATAAACAGATTAGTTGTATTGACTATTAGATGACTGGAAAATAATTATGAAAAAGAAAAAAAAATAAATAGACGTAAATAGTGGTTGGAATTAGGCAGAGATAAAATGCCTGTATCCATACCACAGATGTGACCCTCGCTGAATTTAATGACTGAAAGCTTGACTTGTTACTACGGAACATTCGTGTCGACTTAGAGTATGCAGATGATATTCTCCTGACCCTGATAAAATGCAGTCCACTAAACACCTTGAGAAGAAATCCCAGTATGTTTGGCTTGTGCTTTGCTCCTGTCAGATGTGAGATGATGCTGTAGGACTGGTCTACACAGAAGTGAAGCGGTTTAGCATATCAACTGCTCCACTCAATTGGGAATTCATATAAGCCATAATGTACTGATCGATGAGGAAATCTCCGAACAGATACAAAAGTCGTATTTACTATTGCTAGCTTAAGTCACCTATTATATAGACGTGAAATTCAGCTAAAGGGTGTGTGTCCTGTACTTCAGTTCTGAGACATGGCCAATAAAAGTTGAAGATATGAATATATTTATATATATATACATATGTGTTCTACACTGGCCTATCTATCTTGCCAAGCCTAAAACAACCAATTATTAAGTGCTCAATAGTTATACTAACACTGATCACATACAGTGTAATCAGGTATAATAGATGTCAAGATTCCTGTGTAGCCAATTAAACAAAACAGTTTAGTTTACCTAATACCCTGCAATGATTTTCAGGTCAAATGCATACGTCAGAGTAGCCAAATGAGATCAGTCAGACCAGTGGAGCATAAAAACCTAGCAAAATCTAGATTAGTTGACCCGAATAAGATAAGAAATCTGGAGAATAGTTAGTTCAGCCATGGCACTCACTGCATGCAATTACACACAACCATACAATAGGCTGGATGGGATAGGATGACAGTTTTAAAATCTAATGTCTGTCACAGGGTGGAGATAGAGATTGATAACAGGAGCTTTATTTATCGAATCAACTGCAAACACGTGTAATAGGAATGATTCAAAACCTGCCCATCCAGACATCTGGAAAATTCTACTACCCATATGACAAATGAGAAAGAATACAGAAAACTATAAACTCGAGTTTCGAAGTTGTGTGATTACGATTGATGCTATGACTATGAACAATAGATAATTGTGTTCGAAACGTCATCCAGTAAATAATACTATTTTACTGTGCGATATATCTAATACACAAATTATAATATGGAATTACATGCTAACACAGTGCCCAAGTTTTACACATATATTAATATAAGTGATTAGCTAATAAGAGTGATGGAAATTTAAATTTATGTGGTTCTGTGTTTGTAAATTAGCTCTACAACTGATCAGGGATACATACATCTAGGCTAGTTGACTCATTTCACAGTACAAGCCAACAGTTGTTTTAAATGAAGGGCTGGATATACCTTGTTTGATGAGCACCAACATTTACAAAAGTTTTATTGGACAGAACTTCCTGTCAACTAACTTTAGATTTCTTTTTACCATAATTTCTTGCTATTTTTCTAATTTCACTGGGTAGAATTTCAAAATACCCGCTGCAGGCATTACCTGTTTGGTGTTGATTCAATGAACAAAGACTGAGTGATTAGTGGCTTTCCCTATCCAATACTTGATTTAACCCAGTCACATTCTGTTGTGTGTTAACATGCAAGTGAATGTAGTGCAGTGGCTAAGCCTTTTTCCCGATTATTTAACTTAGCAGGGTCAATCATTCTAACTCTAGCTAAAAATATGATTGACCCCGATCTAACAGTTTGACTCATGGGATTAACTACTTAACAATAATTAAATGGTATTCGGTAAATTATGTTATTTTCCTGTTTATATCTATTGGGTCCTTAAGTCGACAAGGTTTTTCTCCAATTGGTTAAAATGTCACCCTATTTTATTATTTATTTTATTCCCACGCGTTCCGAGTGGAACATAAGGCTTCATGACTTAGTTTTGAAGTCCTACTAGCAGTGATGTTTTTTTAAACGGGGTGAGGTTCCTAGCCTCACGCCCAACCTTTCCTCTTTATCGGGCTAACAACCGGTTTAAGGAGATAAAGGTGTACGCCAGTCGGGAATCGAAGCGCAGACGACGTGCGTGGTTGGCGAGCATTCTATCACTGAACTACTGATGCACCATCCTAATTCCATCCTTATTAGGATTCCTTCAGGAGTACATCAGCTGTTTTATCGTTTGATGGATCCAAATGGTCAAAGTTTTTAACTTCTGACCATACCCTTTCAGACAGTGCACAATTTCCTACAAAAATATTGCTTATCCAAAGAAAAAATTATCTAAACAACCAACCAGTAAACAATTGTGAAAAATATTAACACACATGAATGACTGCTCAACAGACAGGAACAGATTCAAGAAAAAAAACAATCAGAGTTAACATAGTATAAACAAATGAAAAATGATGAGCTAAACTTAATGAAAGAATTAGTGCAAGTCAATTGATTGACAACTTATTGTTTATTCTATGATCAAAATAAGTGATTGAGAGAAGAGACTCTTCTCAACGGATTTATTATCAAGCTGTACAATCGGATATATATATATATATATATGTCCAAACCAAGCTCATTTTTAAGTTTGAAAACATTTGGGCATTGGATATATGATATTCATTATAATGAAGGTTTTTTGTATTTCCCAACGAATGGAAAACAAAACGACATTGTTTTTTACTGACGTTTCGCTATTTAATGCTGATAGCTTTATCAAAGTATTATTTGACCAGAATTTACAAAATCTCAGTTTATATATAACAACTTAATCATCTTTACCAATTGGCCAACTTGACAACGCAAAAATTACCCCATGCTGGGGAACGATGATTAAGTTGTTATATATAAACAGAGATTTTGTAAATTCTGGTTTAATAATACTTTGATAAAGCTATTAGCATTAAATAGCGAAACGTCAGTAAAAACAATCTCGTTTTGTTTTTCATTCATTGGGAAATACAAAAAAACCTTTATTATTTCATACAACCGGTTTCCTTTATTAGTTTGCAGGATAATACGAACTCGTTTTATTTCGTGGATACTCATCAACTGCATACATCCTAAACAAAATCAAATTATAAGTTTCAAAAAGTTTTGGAAGATACTTTTTTTCATAATTACTTGGAGTTATAGATAGAAGGTATAAGGAACATAATTTCAGAATTTGATGTAGGTAGACAGATTATTCAGTGTCAAAAAAACAACTAACTATGTATAGTGGAATCAGATAAGAGGGGTTAGAGTTCAGATTTCTACTGGAAAACACAGATCGGTTAGAGGCATAATACAGGGTCAGGGTCAGAGAACAGAGTGAATTTACGCATCTTGTGGTGGAGAGTTTAAGAGGGTGAGGGTCAGTAGTGAAGTAACATTTTTAACTTAAACAGACAATTAAGTGGATTTAGGAACTTGATAGTCAGTTCAACTTAGCAAGTGAAAGTCAAAATTAAGTAGAATGTTTTGTAACAAGACAAACACACAGGCATACTGACAAAAAGGCAAAACAAAATAAAATAAAATAGAATTAGGGTTACCTGGGTAGTGAAAGATTAGTCACACTATCTTTCTGTATACAGAGGTCTGGTCGAAATCTCTTGATAGCAATGGCTTCTGCGAAGCGAATGTCTGGCGATTGCACTCGATAACACTTTTCTTCCTTTTGTCCGGAGACTCTTAGGAATGTGCTCAGAAAATCTAGTAGATGCTCTCCTCTCAGTCCTTCCTATGTACTTGCTTCCGCAAGTGCAAGTATAACTCCAAGTAATTATGAAAAAAGTATCTTCCAAAACTTTTTTGAAACTTATAATTTGATTTTGTTGGAGATGTATGCAGTTGATGAGTGTCCACAAAATAAAACGAGCTCGTATTATCCTGCAAACATGTTCGTTCTTTCTCTCTTTATTATTATGTATGTGTATATACATATAAGGTTTTTAAGAAATTCTATCAAGTAAGGAAATTGAATCGCAGGTGTGAATACATAAAATAATAATAATAGTGTAACAAAATAAGGCAAGACACGGAAGCCGAAGTATTGAACTATGGGAATAACATTCCGACTCTAACACCAAATCGAATGTTCAAATAGGTATACCGTATTCTGTTGCTAATGCCGAATTGAACTGTGGGAACATGTGAGAATAACATTCCGTTGGCACAGATTGTCTGTGTCCCACCACCACAATAGTATGAAGTGCAATTAAAATTAAAATTTAGAAAAACAACATATTGAGCAAAGAAAAACATACGCAGCTCAATACTAGCTCATCTCGTCGATACTGGACATCAAATCGACTCTAACAAAACTTTTAAAGTTATTTATTGTATTTCACCTAACCTCTCAAATGGTCTACGAGTACGACTTTTACAAGCCAGATCTGTGTGTTCAAAAGAAATTTGTATAGCCCCTTTCTTTGCCACGGCCAACTACATAATATGTATTAAGTTTTTAAAAAGGATTTTTCCCCTCCCCTCTTGTAACTGTCTTTTGACTTTGTTAAGTTTTATCATTTTTACAATTCTAGCTGATTCTATTAACTTATTTGTATTTTACGTAACCCTTCTGAGTCATTCTATTCTTCTTAGTCATCATCGCTATTTTACGAATTTCTTGATTACGTAATAACTTGTTGATAACGCCTAAGAATCAACTTATCTTGAATTCCGTAATTAATTTTCACCTCTCCTTCAAAACTTAGATATCTTGTTACTAACATCTATTAGTTATTTGTTTTGATGACCTTTAACTTCTTAATTTCACCCCACTCCTACCTATACCTAAAAGTGATTAACTAAAATAACCACTTAATTGGTAAAACATTTTGAGGTAAAAAAAACTATAGTATTACTGTACAGCCAATGATGAGGAACTAATTGAAAAAGGATATATTTCTTCGCTAAATACGTTGCTTCTTTAAGTTTCAATTTTAATTCCACTTCATACTATTATTATTTTATGTATTCACACCCACGATTCCATTCCCTTACTGTATATAATTTCTTAAAAAACCATATATGTATATATAAATATATATATATATCTCCGTTGAAGAGGAGTCTCTTCTCTGAATCACTTGTTTTGATTTTCTATACATGTCCCAATTGGAATTCTCCATGAATTAATCTATACTCCTCAAAAACTTAATTGATAAAACCATCCCAGTTGTTGAAAAATTAACAATTACATAGAAAGATTGAACAAAGGGCAAACGATGTGATGTACAGAAGAAGAAAATGTAATTTTTTTTTCAATTACCCAGGTGAAGTGCTTGATTCTATTTGTATGAAATACACTAATGGCTTTGATAAAGGCCATTGTGGTTCATCCCATATCACATCAGCACGTGTATCACTGACGTTGAATACTCTGACATTTGTTGGTATCATCATCAACAAATTATTAGTATCAATTCCATCTATCGAACAAACAATAAAACCAAAACACAATATGAAAACATTTTGAATCAATAGGATAAACAAAAATTATTTGATATTTTTGAGTTTGCAGAGATTCAAGGGTAGATTTCGCCATTAACGGAGTGACATCAGTTAAGGGATGACTGAAAACCAGAAAGCACTGAACAACCGTCTCGTTCTAGTTTGATACTTTCAGCAGTGCGTAACCATGACCGAACGAGAGATAGCATCCAGGCCAAGCTCCTTGAACATTCAGCTATTCGGGTTGAAATTCAATGACCCATAAATTCTAACTTTGTCGTTACCTTCAACGAGTGCCTTGGATAAGCATCTCCTTCAACTTGACCCACTACAGCTTTAGGACATCCATCCAGTAGTAGTCACCAATAAACTGGAGATTGATATGTACATTACGAAACATTTTTTTGGGGGTTGGATTAATTTCAATAGAAACATCCTCACGAACTGACGTCAACCAGAAAACCTTAAAAACTACGAAGCGATGGACAGCTGTTTCATACTAAACAAAACTATTAAGCTGTGTACTCTGACAGGCTCACCGGGGTTTCAAGAGGAGCTGACTGACCATCCTAGAAACTGTGTCTGGATTCGAAGATCTTTGAATTCTAACTTCTAACGAAAGTTGCGATATGGCGCCACTACCAACCAATGACATCGATGAGCTTCTGGTTCACCTTCACCACCTCTCATTAACAGCTACAACATATCAATCCAGTAGTGACTAATCAGCTTCAAATGAAACTATTTCGAATAGTAAGCAGACGACTAAAAGTACTTAGTTCCACAATATCATACACTAAGGAACCAAGTAGTTATAACAAGCCATCAATGAATTTTACTATTTGCCTGAGACAGCATCTGAACTAATGACTTCCGGCAGTACATAGCCAGCGCTGTACGAGATGAATTACGAAACATAAATTTTGTGAAGGTAGGCCTATTATAAAGTTAAATGATACTATACACTCACCCAACACGAGATAAATGGGGCAGGATTCGACCTCAGAACCCACGAAGACAATTATTGGGATAAAGAAACAACTAAATAAGAATGATGTGGTGATAAGACAGATTTGAGTGTGAATAGCATAAAATCGTCAGGTCAGAAGGTGAAATATTATGAGTCATTTTTTTCCTACTTGGGCTGTAAATCAGACATTTGATCCTAAGGATCAGATCATGCTAACCAGTTAAAACATAGTTTTTATATCTTAAACTAGTATTTTATTGATCATGTAAAATATAACTACATAAATAGTTGCTTTCTCTAGCGAGTTTGTCTTTTCAGTGGAGAAATAAACCTTTGGCTTTTCAGTTAGTCATTCTTCGCCTTCTCCATATGGTAATAAGTAGGCAAGGGATCAGTCGAACATTGTTGAGTGTTGAAGTGACAGTAATGAGGAATCAATAAATTCAATATTATCCACCATGTTGAAGAAGCAGTTACAATAAAAATCGATGGGCTGTAAGTTACATACTACTTAATTCCCATGACAGTGATCAAAGCGATTCGGAAACAGATTTTAGTAGTTCAAAGGAAAAGCTTACGTAATTTAATTTAATTTATGTAATTTATTCAAAGAAAACTCTGAATCCCATATACACTACTTTATTGATTGATATGAGTAGTTGAACACCACTGATATCAGTAAATATCGAGGTTGCATTTATACAATTATGATTTCTTGATTAACCAACTTATGGTATCAAGTAGATCACATATGGTGATCCGAATCATTTCGTTTTCCAAAAAGAAAAGTGTGGTGAAATTTCATCTCAAACTAGATGTAAGTTGCAAATCATGCAAATTAAGAATCTGATTTGAATCTAATAACCATTTATTCATTTAAACAAAAAAGGAGATGTAGGTCCTCCGCTTAAGTAAACAACTTTCGTTCAGATGAGTCCTCGGTTAGAATCTCAACTCAATTACTTCAGTATGGGAGCAACTAAACAGTATCGCTAACTCTCAGAAACAATAAATGTATCCCAAACACCGTGATTTCACTCTCCATGCGGCAGATTGTGCTTAGCGACAAGACGGAGATACGCTGGGTCCACAAGAAGACTCTAGGAAAAGTGAACTTCACCAACGATTTATCTCTAACATCAGACAAACTCGACTACCTACAGGAGAAAACCAACAAGTTGACACAAGAAGCGGCGAAGACTCGACTTCATGTGAACATACAGATGACAGAGGTGATTAGGATACCTCATCATCAACAACATATACCAATCATTACCAACGGGGGAAATATAAAGGAGGTCACCACTTTCACTCATCTAGGCAGCAACGTTTCAAATAAAGGCACGCGGCACCGATAAAGATATGAAAGTCAAGACGGGAAAGACAAAACAGACATTTATTATTTTAAAAGCAGTCCAGAAACCTTCTGCAGTGATCATGAGGAACAATATTCGGATTTTCAACACAAATGTCAAGTCAGTTCTTCTATAAAGTTCAGAGTTTTGGTATACGTATCAACGAAGGATTTCCAACAGGCTTCAACTTCTATCAACAGCTGTCTTCGCTTGATACTGAAGATCAGATGGGCAGTCAAGAAGTATACACAACAAGGAACTCTGACAACGATGCAACCAAGAACCTATTATCTAACAAATATGACAAAGAAAATGGAGACGGATCGGACACACGCTGAGGAGACCAATGAGTAACATCGCGCCAGGCCACAGGGTGGAAAAGGAACAGAAAGCGATGAGTTGGATGTTGGTTCAAGTGAGACTTGGATGAGATCGTGCCAGCAAATAAGACCTTATGGGCAATGATACAGCCAGCTGAAGAGGATTGCCAAGAACAATATGGAAGTGAGATGTATTGTTGAAGCCCTATGTTCCACTCGGAACATGAGGGAATAATAATAATAATAATAATAATAATAATAATAATAGCCTGATACACGAAAAATCTGCGCCCCTTAACTGACTTCCAAACAAAAATATTTATTCGAAATAAAGAATAGCAAGGTAAAACATCCGAGACATACCATTTATGTAATCGGCAGAGTTCGATTGAACAACCTGAAGATGAATTGAATGTTGAATAGATCCAAATCTGTAATTCGAAGAGAAGCAAGACAAACATAAACACGATGATTATTTAAAAAAACGAAAATATATATATTCGCAGAAGAAAACACTGAAAAACCAGAGGGAAAAACGTGACTCAGCAACTAGCTACACCCAGGTGTTTACATAAACATATCGTGGGGGGGCAAATCAAAGCCTCACATCAAATCATAAAATCCTTACATTTTGGTTTTAGCCATGTAGGGAAAAGGTGTAGAGACTGTCTGACTGTGGTACTAGGAAGGCTAAGAGCAATTAACGGTTAGAGACTGTTGGTGGTTTGCTTCAAAATTATTCTCAATGGCGCTGATTCATTCACACTTTGTGATCTCCCACGTCCATTAAATTCTCATCATTATTATTATTCATTATTATTTTGATTACAGCTTGATGCCACACCGTACTTTTTGGTACAGGTATGGAATTTTCAGCATATGATATCGGTAGCCCGAATTTTGCAGGCCGACCATAGATATCAGGTGTGCGTCGGCAGGGGATCGAAGCCCGGACTATGTGCATGGTCGGCGAGAGTCCTAACCACTGTGCCACCGACGCTGTTATTTTTTCTCCCGCATATTTCTCTTAATTATTTTTCTTTAACATTTCTTCTTCCTATTTTCTTTACTTTTGTGTGGCATGTGGCGTATGGTAACTAGAGGTGATGTACTTCTGTGCCAAGTTCTATGTTGAAACTCAGTCAGCCAGTGACACACACACACAAACATTCATGAGCTGTGATCACGCACCTGGCTGCTGGAAACACATCAGATAAAGTAGGATTCAACTTCATGATTTGTTCAATGAAAACTTTAATCTTTGTAGGCTAGACTATAGCCTCATATAAAATTCTGCAATTTTCATTCATGTGAGACTATCATGTCTGAATCCTGTTCAACCTAACTCAGACAGACACACAGACTAGGCAGTATGTCACCAGCTCTAATACGATAAATGTTATAGATTTGGAGGAGTATAGAGTGATGCAGACTGATAGGAAGCGGTCAACATATTAAGTCAATGACTGTAGAGTTGACGTTGGCAACATGAAATAACCTCTTTGGACAAGATGTTTAACCTTGGGTCAGTTGCCAGCCAATCAAAATTATTTTATTCCCCTCTGATCTAGCCAAACTTTAATGTAGCTAAGAATGTGTATTTCCTTAACTAAAGGTACGTTACTAAGTCTCTTATCATCACCCGTTACAGAGATGTACCCTATAAGACTTTATACATTTTTCACTTTGGAATCACCCTCTTTATGAGTGTTAATAAGTTCCGATTCCAATTCATTTAAGCCGGACAGTCTACTCACTTGCAATAGACAACAGCAATGGCTCACTAGTTAGCAAGCTAACTCACTAATCGTATTAATCATCAGTGTTGACTAAACAAATGGTGAGCAGGAAAACAACAACCCCAGTAGAACTGAAAAAACGGTAAATTTCTCTAAATATACGAACGAAATATTCCCACATTGAGTCATAAACAGAAAATTTTCTTTTCAAAGATTCATTTTCATAAGCTGTACAGTCGTAATTATATTTAACAAAGAAAATATTTTTTTTAATTTTTGATTACAGCTTGATTCCACACCGTACTTTTTGGTACAGGTATGGAATTTTCAGCATATGATATCGGTAGCCCAAATTTTGCAGGCCGACCATAGATATCAGGTGTGCGTCGGCAGGGGATCGAAGCCCGGACTATGTGCATGGTCGGCGAGAGTCCTAACCACTGTGCCACCGACGCTGTTATTTTTTCTCCCGCATATTTCTCTTAATTATTTTTCTTTAACATTTCTTCTTCCTATTTTCTTTACTTTTGTGTGGCATGTGGCGTATGGTAACTAGAGGTGATGTACTTCTGTGCCAAGTTCTATGTTGAAACTCAGTCAGCCAGTGACACACACACACAAACATTCATGAGCTGTGATCACGCACCTGGCTGCTGGAAACACATCAGATAAAGTAGGATTCAACTTCATGATTTGTTCAATGAAAACTTTAATCTTTGTAGGCTAGACTATAGCCTCATATAAAATTCTGCAATTTTCATTCATGTGAGACTATCATGTCTGAATCCTGTTCAACCTAACTCAGACAGACACACAGACTAGGCAGTATGTCACCAGCTCTAATACGATAAATGTTATAGATTTGGAGGAGTATAGAGTGATGCAGACTGATAGGAAGCGGTCAACATATTAAGTCAATGACTGTAGAGTTGACGTTGGCAACATGAAATAACCTCTTTGGACAAGATGTTTAACCTTGGGTCAGTTGCCAGCCAATCAAAATTATTTTATTCCCCTCTGATCTAGCCAAACTTTAATGTAGCTAAGAATGTGTATTTCCTTAACTAAAGGTACGTTACTAAGTCTCTTATCATCACCCGTTACAGAGATGTACCCTATAAGACTTTATACATTTTTCACTTTGGAATCACCCTCTTTATGAGTGTTAATAAGTTCCGATTCCAATTCATTTAAGCCGGACAGTCTACTCACTTGCAATAGACAACAGCAATGGCTCACTAGTTAGCAAGCTAACTCACTAATCGTATTAATCATCAGTGTTGACTAAACAAATGGTGAGCAGGAAAACAACAACCCCAGTAGAACTGAAAAAACGGTAAATTTCTCTAAATATACGAACGAAATATTCCCACATTGAGTCATAAACAGAAAATTTTCTTTTCAAAGATTCATTTTCATAAGCTGTACAGTCGTAATTATATTTAACAAAGAAAATATTTTTTTTAATTTTTGATTACAGCTTGATTCCACACCGTACTTTTTGGTACAGGTATGGAATTTTCAGCATATGATATCGGTAGCCCGAATTTTGCAGGCCGACCATAGATATCAGGTGTGCGTCGGCAGGGGATCGAAGCCCGGACTATGTGCATGGTCGGCGAGAGTCCTAACCACTGTGCCACCGACGCTGTTATTTTTTCTCCCGCATATTTCTCTTAATTATTTTTCTTTAACATTTCTTCTTCCTATTTTCTTTACTTTTGTGTGGCATGTGGCGTATGGTAACTAGAGGTGATGTACTTCTGTGCCAAGTTCTATGTTGAAACTCAGTCAGCCAGTGACACACACACACAAACATTCATGAGCTGTGATCACGCACCTGGCTGCTGGAAACACATCAGATAAAGTAGGATTCAACTTCATGATTTGTTCAATGAAAACTTTAATCTTTGTAGGCTAGACTATAGCCTCATATAAAATTCTGCAATTTTCATTCATGTGAGACTATCATGTCTGAATCCTGTTCAACCTAACTCAGACAGACACACAGACTAGGCAGTATGTCACCAGCTCTAATACGATAAATGTTATAGATTTGGAGGAGTATAGAGTGATGCAGACTGATAGGAAGCGGTCAACATATTAAGTCAATGACTGTAGAGTTGACGTTGGCAACATGAAATAACCTCTTTGGACAAGATGTTTAACCTTGGGTCAGTTGCCAGCCAATCAAAATTATTTTATTCCCCTCTGATCTAGCCAAACTTTAATGTAGCTAAGAATGTGTATTTCCTTAACTAAAGGTACGTTACTAAGTCTCTTATCATCACCCGTTACAGAGATGTACCCTATAAGACTTTATACATTTTTCACTTTGGAATCACCCTCTTTATGAGTGTTAATAAGTTCCGATTCCAATTCATTTAAGCCGGACAGTCTACTCACTTGCAATAGACAACAGCAATGGCTCACTAGTTAGCAAGCTAACTCACTAATCGTATTAATCATCAGTGTTGACTAAACAAATGGTGAGCAGGAAAACAACAACCCCAGTAGAACTGAAAAAACGGTAAATTTCTCTAAATATACGAACGAAATATTCCCACATTGAGTCATAAACAGAAAATTTTCTTTTCAAAGATTCATTTTCATAAGCTGTACAGTCGTAATTATATTTAACAAAGAAAATATTTTTTTTAATTTTTGATTATAGCTTGATTCCACACCGTACTTTTTGGTACAGGTATGGAATTTTCAGCATATGATATCGGTAGCCCGAATTTTGCAGGCCGACCATAGATATCAGGTGTGCGTCGGCAGGGGATCGAAGCCCGGACTATGTGCATGGTCGGCGAGAGTCCTAACCACTGTGCCACCGACGCTGTTATTTTTTCTCCCGCATATTTCTCTTAATTATTTTTCTTTAACATTTCTTCTTCCTATTTTCTTTACTTTTGTGTGGCATGTGGCGTATGGTAACTAGAGGTGATGTACTTCTGTGCCAAGTTCTATGTTGAAACTCAGTCAGCCAGTGACACACACACACAAACATTCATGAGCTGTGATCACGCACCTGGCTGCTGGAAACACATCAGATAAAGTAGGATTCAACTTCATGATTTGTTCAATGAAAACTTTAATCTTTGTAGGCTAGACTATAGCCTCATATAAAATTCTGCAATTTTCATTCATGTGAGACTATCATGTCTGAATCCTGTTCAACCTAACTCAGACAGACACACAGACTAGGCAGTATGTCACCAGCTCTAATACGATAAATGTTATAGATTTGGAGGAGTATAGAGTGATGCAGACTGATAGGAAGCGGTCAACATATTAAGTCAATGACTGTAGAGTTGACGTTGGCAACATGAAATAACCTCTTTGGACAAGATGTTTAACCTTGGGTCAGTTGCCAGCCAATCAAAATTATTTTATTCCCCTCTGATCTAGCCAAACTTTAATGTAGCTAAGAATGTGTATTTCCTTAACTAAAGGTACGTTACTAAGTCTCTTATCATCACCCGTTACAGAGATGTACCCTATAAGACTTTATACATTTTTCACTTTGGAATCACCCTCTTTATGAGTGTTAATAAGTTCCGATTCCAATTCATTTAAGCCGGACAGTCTACTCACTTGCAATAGACAACAGCAATGGCTCACTAGTTAGCAAGCTAACTCACTAATCGTATTAATCATCAGTGTTGACTAAACAAATGGTGAGCAGG